GCACCGTGCCACTCTAACAACAGGGCACCGTGCCGCTCTAACAACAGGGCACCGTGCCGCTCTAACAACAGGGCACCGTGCCACTCTAACAGGGCACCGTGCCACTCTAACAACAGGGCACCGTGCCACTGTAACAACAGGGCACCGTGCCACTGTAACAACAGGGCACCGTGCCACTGTAACAACAGGGCACCGTGCCACTCTAACAGGGCACCGTGCCACTCTAACAACAGGGCACCGTGCCGCTCTAACAACAGGGCACCGTGCCACTCTAACAGGGCACCGTGCCACTCTAACAGGGCACCGTGCCACTATAACAACAGGGCACCGTGCCACTCTAACAGGGCACCCTACCATTGTGACAAAAGGGCACCATGCCACTCTGGCTACTGGGCACCATGTCACGACGTAGATCTAGATCTACATAGCCTTGGGATTCACTTAATACATGGGGAAACAAAATATAATAATCTGTTACCATAATTTTGTGACAGGCTAGACTAGGCCTATACTGTGGCCATGTATATCGATGTTGACCAGCTTCGCTTGATTAATTTTCCCCTCTGTAAGAAAAGAGCGTGCAATCAAGTGGCCAGGCCCTTCTCTCCAGCAAACGACTTGTGTCAGCTCGCGAGCAGACGCGTCACTACCTGGACGCCGATTGTGTCCAGGAAAGAGCAATTACCCGGGCTCTGGTGCCCCCAGAAGACTTCAAAGCGCCGCTGGTGGTGGCCGCTGGTTTACTCCCTTTGTTTGAGCGCGTGCTAGCCGCCCCACCTCCCCCCCCCCCCCCAATCACCTATCAAATGGAAAAAATAATTTGCCGCTAAAAGCTCCGATAAAGCAATTTTTTTTTTGCCAGGGACAAAGGCGGGAATCTCGCCGATTGTCTGACGACCCTAACCTCCCCTTATTTGTTTTGGCTCAACGGTAAATTAAATCCCCCCTCCCCCCATTGCCTTGTTGGCACCGCCAAGCTAGCGCAAGCCAATTGAGAGAAAAACAAATTGAAATCTACGTGCCCTGGCCTGACCCGAGTATCCCCCATTGCACCATTGACCATTGTTTGTAGAAAATTGAAAACTGCAAGACTAGTGCCAGTAGCGGCGACTACTTTCAATCTTATCTTTTTCATCTCTCCCGACCACTGGCGACCGTGACAAAAGCGCAAAGCAATGAGTTGCGTGGAATGAGGTGTGCAACATTTTAATAGGGGGGGGGGGGGTGGGGAGGGGGAACGACGGACATTTTGAAATTGTTTTTGAAACTAGTTCAAATTGAAACATGGCCGGTAAGCGACTTGTCCGTCCATTGTCGCCGGTTTGTTCCATTCAGCGGATGAGCAATATGTTTTCAGAGTGCTGTCCCCTGACGGCCTGCCCCCGGCACTGACTAACGTTATTTACATTGAAAGCCGCCAGGAATTGGCACAGATTGGGAAATGCACGTGCGCAGGGAACAATGTCAATTAGATCTACATTTGAGCCGTCTCCAGCAATTAAACTGTCCCTGCGTCAGCTGAGCGTGGTGGAACCAATTAGCCAACGTCAGGCCATTGTGGCCTCTAGATTACAACTTTATGCTACACCGGCTCGGCTTAATGGGATATTAGACAACAATAGGTAAACATGGCTCAATCATTGGCTCCACGCGATGGCCGCTAATGTTCCAGTCTTAGGGCCGCCAATCACCAGAACAATCCACGCTTGGAGGTATACAACAAAGATGGCCAAGGTCTACTGTGGTATACAACAAAGATGGCCAAGGTCTACTGTGGTATACAACAAAGATGGCCAAGGTCTACTGTGGTGTACAACAAAGATGGCCATGGTCTACTGTGGTATACAACAAAGATGGCCAAGGTCTACTGTGGTATACAACAAAGATGGCCAAGGTCTACTGTGGTGTACAACAAAGATGGCCATGGTCTACTGTGGTATACAACAAAGATGGCCTAGGTCTACTGTGGTATACAACAAAGATGGCCAAGGTCTACTGTGGTGTACACCAAAGATGGCCAAGGTCTACTGTGGTGTACAACAAAGATGGCCTAGGTCTACTGTGGTGTACAACAAAGATGGCCAAGGTCTACTGTGGTGTACAACAAAGATGGCCATGGTCTACTGTGGTGTACAACAAAGATGGCCATGGTCTACAACAAAGATGGCCAAGGTCTACTGTGTACAACAAAGATGGCCATGGTCTACTGTGGTGTACAACAAAGATGGCCATGGTCTACTGTGTACAACAAAGATGGCCAAGGTCTACTGTGGTCTACAACAAAGGTGGCCAAGGTCTACTGTGGTCTACAACAAAGATGGCCAAGGTCTACTGTGGTGTACAACAAAGATGGCCATGGTCTACTGTGGTGTACAACAAAGATGGCCATGGTCTACTGTGGTCTACAACAAAGATGGCCAAGGTCTACTGTGGTGTACAACAAAGATGGCCATGGTCTACTGTGGTGTACATCAAAGGTGGCCTAGGTCTAGTGTGGTGTACAACAAAGATGGCCAAGGTCTACTGTGGTGTACATCAAAGATGGCCATGGTCTACTGTGGTGTACATCAAAGGTGGCCAAGGTCTACTGTGGTGTACATCAAAGATGGCCAAGGTCTACTGTGGTGTACAACAAAGATGGCCAAGGTCTACTGTGGTGTACAACAAAGATGGCCAAGGTCTACTGTGGTGTACAACAAAGATGGCCAAGGTCTACTGTGGTGTATATCAAAGATGGCCAACGGGTAAGCTCACTAAAGCCTCGCTATCACGTCCGGATGTTTCTAGTCTACCTTCCTGTCTAAGTTTGGGTACCACGCCCTCCCCCTCATTGACCAAGACTGTCCACACTCGTCTGGTAAACCAATCTTAAATACACCTACCGTGTACTTACTACACGATGCATCCCCCCCCCCCCATTAGATGCCCAAAGAAAACGTTGGCAGAAAATAATGCGCATAACAAAAAAGAAACTAAATTTTTTTTCTTCCACCAAACTGCCCGCCCTTTGTGCTGTGTCCGGGTCTGTGGGAATTCCCGCATCGAGATCTTTAACCCTCGCCTCTCACAACCTCCTCAAGCCTGTTTCATTTTGCGCACTTAATTATCCGGCCCATCCTCATCATCATGACATCGATATTTTCTTCCCTTCTGGTCCGTCTGATGGGCGTCGAGAGCAACCTTCCACTGACGCCAAACTCGCCAAGAAAGGCGCGATTTAATTGGCTGGGACCTCAAGTGGGCAATACCGCCACGTGAAGTAGGTTCAAGATTCTCGGGATAAAAAGAGATTATTGATTGGCTGGTTGGAATAAGAAGCGAAGAAAGCCGTCGATTGATTGGTGCTATGTAAAGAGAGGTGAAATTTGATTGGTTGAGAGGTTTCTGGTGTCTTGAAGAAAACAGGAGCAATGGTTCCCATAGACTGAAGAGTTAGAGCAGTGTCCCAGCATGTTGTTCCTCTCCCCTTGCCCACAAGCAAGAACATGCCGCTGGGAACCTCCACATTGGACGGTCGGGTGGGGACCTTTACATTGGACGGCCGGGCCCTTCCACTAAGGGACCCCCACATTAGGACAACTCGTCAGTTGATTCACACGGTGCTCGGGTGCTGGTTGACTCTAACAAGATAATGTGCTCTAGGCCGCACACAGGGGGGGGGGGGGGGTGATAACACAGGGAGGGGGTGGGTGATAAGGTTTAAACTACACCACACAGGGAGGGGGTGGGTGATAAGGTTTAAACTACACCACACAGGGTGGGTGTGGGTGATAAGGTTTAAACTACACCACACAGGGAGGGGGTGGGTGATAAGGTTTAAACTACACCACACAGGCTGAGGGTGGGTGATAAGGTTTAAACTACACCACACAGGGAGGGGGTGGGTGATAAGGTTTAAACTACACCACACAGGGAGGGGGTGGGTGATAAGGTTTAAACTACACCACACAGGGAGGGGGTGGGTGATAAGGTTTAAACTACACCACACAGGGAGGGGGTGGGTGATAAGGTTTAAACTACACCACACAGGGTGGGTGATAAGGTTTAAACTACACCACACAGGGTGGGTGATAAGGTTTAAACTACACCACACAGGGTGGGTGATAAGGTTTAAACTACACCACACAGGGTGGGTGTGGGTGATAAGGTTTAAACTACACCACACAGGGTGGGTGATAAGGTTTAAACTACACCACACAGGGTGGGGGTGGGTGATAAGGTTTAAACTACACCACACAGGCTGAGGGTGGGTGATAAGGTTTAAACTACACAACACAGGGTGGGTGATAAGGTTTAAACTACACCACACAGGGAGGGGGTGGGTGATAAGGTTTAAACTACACCACACAGGGTGGGGGTGGGTGATAAGGTTTAAACTACACCACACAGGGAGGGGGTGGGTGATAAGGTTTAAACTACACCACACAGGGGGGGGGGTTGGTGATAAGGTTTAAACTACACCACACAGGGAGGGGGTGGGTGATAAGGTTTAAACTACACCACACAGAGAGGGGGTGGGTGATAAGGTTTAAACTACACCACACAGGGTGGGGGTGGGTGATAAGGTTTAAACTACACCACACAGGGAGGGGGTGGGTGATAAGGTTTAAACTACACCACACAGAGAGGGGGTGGGTGATAAGGTTTAAACTACACCACACAGGGGGGGGGTGGGTGATAAGGTTAAACTACACCACACAGGGAGGGGGTGGGTGATAAGGTTTAAACTACACCACACAGGGGGGGTGGGTGATAAGGTTAAACTACACCACACAGGGAGGGGGTGGGTGATAAGGTTTAAACTACACCACACAGGGAGGGGGTGGGTGATAAGGTTTAAACTACACCACCTAGGAGGGGTGTCTCACTACACCACACAGGATAGGTGTAACATAACACCCCACAAACTACATGTTACATCATGCAGGTGCTATATTAAAAAACCCAATGAATTGACCAGGGCACAAGACAGAGTATAAATCAAGTCAACCCACTTACTCTATATACGTGGTTTCATTTCAAGCTTTTTGATTATACAGGTGGAAACAATGAGCATGAGTGATGAGTACATCTGTTTACCTAACCTAACAATGGTACGATTTAATGGATGAGTTGATCTAAATGTTAATAAATTGATGATAAAGATTACCCATAGGGTAGCTAGGGTAAATTTAATAGCTGTGTCCTCAAATAAACCAGTACATTGGGTTATTGATGAAACCAAGGCATACAATTGGAACCATTCAAGCCAACAAAAAACCACCACACCCAAACAATGCTACATGAATCACTGAGAACTTTTGTTTACCTTTCTAACATGGACCTTTTGGCATCTCAAGTTTACAACAAGTCACAGTGATTCTCTAACTTTGGATAAACACAATTCCTAAAGTCACAGGAACTCTAAGTTTAGATTAACACAATTCCTAAAGTCCCAGGAACTCTAAGTTTAGATAAACACAATTCCTAAAGTCCCAGGAACTCTAAGTTTAGATAAACACAATTCCTAAAGTCCCAGGAACTCTAAGTTTAGATAAACACAATTCCTAAAGTCCCAGGAACTCTAAGTTTAGATAAACACAATTCCTAAAGTCCCAGGGACTGCAAAGTTTAGATAAACAATCCCTAAAGTTGAGATCATAGAAATACAGTTTTCCCATGGATCTGTGTCAGCTGGTGTAGATCTTGTGATGTCAACACATTAGAGCTGGCTTTGGTCAGATGGAGGTGCTTGACCGGCTGGCCAAATACTGCTGAGGCCTGGAACAAATGGTCAGTTTAATACTAGCACAAGTTTAATGTTCTACCAACCATTTAAATGGTCAGTTCAATACTAGCACAAGTTTAATGTTCTACCAACATGCTCAGTTCAATACTAGCACAAGTTTAATGTTCTACCAACCATTCAAATGGTCAGTTCAATACTAGCACAAGTTTAATGTTCTACCAACATGCTCAGTTCAATACTAGCACAAGTTTAATGTTCTACCAACCATTCAAATGGTCAGTTCAATACTAGCACAAGTTTAATGTTCTACCAACATGCTCAGTTCAATACTAGCACAAGTTTAATGTTCTACCAACCATTCAAATGGTCAGTTCAATACTAGCACAACATTTAAATGGTCAGTTCAATACTAGCACAACATTCAAATGGTCAGTTCAATACTAGCACAACATTCAAATGGTCAGTTCAATACTAGCACAACATTCAAATGGTCAGTTCAATACTAGCACAACATTCAAATGGTCAGTTCAATACTAGCACAACATTCAAATGGTCAGTTCAATACTAGCACAACATTCAAATGGTCAGTTCAATACTAGCACAACATTCAAATGGTCAGTTCAATACTAGCACAACATTCAAATGGTCAGTTCAATACTAGCACAACATTCAAATGGTCAGTTCAATACTAGCACAACATTCAAATGGTCAGTTCAATACTAGCACAACATTCAAATGGTCAGTTCAATACTAGCACAACATTCAAATGGTCAGTTCAATACTAGCACAACATTCAAATGGTCAGTTCAATACTAGCACAAGTTCAATGTTCTACCAACATGGTCAGTTCAATACTAGCTCAAGTTTAATGTTCTACCAACCATTTAAATGGTCAGTTCAATACTAGCACAAGTTTAATGTTCTACCAACCATTCAAATGGTCAGTTCAATACTAGCACAAGTTTAATGTTCTACCAACCATTCAAATGGTCAGTTCAATACTAGCACAAGTTTAATGTTCTACCAACAATTCAAATGGTCAGTTCAATACTAGCACAAGTTTAATGTTCTACCAACCATTTAAATGGTCAGTTCAATACTAGCTCAAGTTTAATGTTCTACCAACAATTCAAATGGTCAGTTCAATACTAGCACAAGTTTAATGTTCTACCAACCATTTAAATGGTCAGTTCAATACTAGCACAAGTTTAATGTTCTACCAACCATTCAAATGGTCAGTTCAATACTAGCACAAGTTTAATGTTCTACCAACCATTCAAATGGTCAGTTCAATACTAGCACAAGTTTAATGTTCTACCAACCATTCAAATGGTCAGTTCAATACTAGCACAAGTTTAATGTTCTACCAACCATTTAAATGGTCAGTTCAATACTAGCACAAGTTTAATGTTCTACCAACCATTCAAATGGTCAGTTCAATACTAGCACAAGTTTAATGTTCTACCAACCATTCAAATGGTCAGTTCAATACTAGCACAAGTTTAATGTTCTACCAACCATTTAAATGGTCAGTTCAATACTAGCACAAGTTTAATGTTCTACCAACCATTTAAATGGTCAGTTCAATACTAGCACAAGTTTAATGTTCTACCAACCATTCAAATGGTCAGTTCAATACTAGCACAAGTTTAATGTTCTACCAATCATTCAAAAATGGTCAGACCGATATTAGCAACAGAGATCTATTCTTTAGTTTTCAAATGATCTAGTAGCTGAGATTTTGCTCTGTAATTCTAATTATTCTTAAACTAAAGTTAGGAAATCATTGCTTAGAACAGTGGTTCTTAACCTTTTTTGAGGTACTATACCCCATCCAATTTGTATGCCTTTCACCAAACCCTTCTGACTAGTTTTGTCGTCCACACTGACAAAATCTGATTGTGAATCACTTGAGTTGGGTGTGTGGCTTGACCTACACATTTGAGTTGGGTGTGTGGCTTGACCTCCACATTTGAGTTGGGTGTGTGGCTTGACCTCCACATTTGAGTTGAGTGTGTGGCTTGACCTCCACATTTGAGTTGGGTGTGTGGCTTGACCTCCACATTTGAGTTGGGTGTGTGGCTTGACCTCCACATTTGAGTTGGGTGTGTGGCTTGACCTCCACATTTGAGTTGGGTGTGTGGCTTGACCTCCACATTTGAGTTGGGTGTGTGGCTTGACCTCCACATTTGAGTTGGGTGTGTGGCTTGACCTCCACATTTGAGTTGGGTGTGTGGCTTGACCTCCACATTTGAGTTGGGTGTGTGGCTTGATCTCCACATTTGAGTTGGGTGTGTGGCTTGATCTCCACATTTGAGTTGGGTGTGTGGCTTGACCTCCACATTTGAGTTGGGTGTGTGGCTTGACCTCCACATTTGAGTTGGGTGTGTGGCTTGACCTCCACATTTGAGTTGGGTGTGTGGCTTGACCTCCACATTTGAGTTGGGTGTGTGGTTTGACCTCCACATTTGAGTTGAGTGTGTGGTTTGACCTCCACATTTGAGTTGGGTGTGTGGCTTGACCTCCACATTTGAGTTGGGTGTGTGGCTTGACCTCCACACTTGAGTTGGGTGTGTGGCTTGACCTCCACACTTGAGTTGGGTGTGTGGCTTGACCTCCACATTTGAGTTGGGTGTGTGGCTTGACCTCCACATTTGAGTTGGGTGTGTGGCTTGACCTCCACATTTGAGTTGGGTGTGTGGTTTGACCTCCACATTTGAGTTGGGTGTGTGGCTTGACCTCCACATTTGAGTTGGGTGTGTGGCTTGACCTCCACATTTGAGTTGGGTGTGGTTTGACCTCAACCTCTGAGACTGATTCACCCAAGCCAAGAACCACTGGCTTAGAATATTTTACAATATTAATGTTAAACTGTTCTCAGTTTAAAAGATCAAAAGTTTGAAATCACATTGGAACTTACTTGAGCATGGAGTTCATCAAGAGTTAGGAAATCGCCTCTAGGATTTTCTAGAAGAAGCGTTCCTTTTCTCCCGTTACCCTCCACATTAACGTAATGGCATACGGGCCAATCAAACTGGCTGCTGCAGGCAGGGGGGTGCTGCGTCTGGGCGGTGACATAAATAGTTTTCTTGTGAAGTTTCTCCCCACTGGCAGCACTGGTCAACCCCTGGGTTAAGGCAGCATCTTCAAACAGCCGCACCTTGACACCCCTCAGCCCAAACACTGACTGGACCTGGGCAAGACACAATCACTTCTAGACTTTCACAAGCAACTGGCAAGACACAATCACTTCTAGACTTACACAAGCAACTGGCAAGACACAATCACTTCTAGACTTTCACAAGCAACTGGCAAGACACAATCACTTCTAGACTTACACAAGCAACTGGCAAGACACAATCACTTCTAGACTTACACAAGCAACTGGCAAGACACAATCACTTCTAGACTTTCACAAGCAACTGGCAAGACACAATCACTTCTAGACTTACACAAGCAACTGGCAAGACACAATCACTTCTAGACTTTCACAAGCAACTGGCAAGACACAATCACTTCTAGACTTACACAAGCAACTGGCAAGACACAATCACTTCTAGACTTTCACAAGCAACTGGCAAGACACAATCACTTCTAGACTTACACAAGCAACTGGCAAGACACAATCACTTCTAGACTTACACAAGCAACTGGCAAGACACAATCACTTCTAGACTTTCACAAGCAACTGGCAAGACACAATCACTTCTAGACTTACACAAGAAACTGGCAAGACACAATCACTTCTAGACTTACACAAGCAACTGGCAAGACACAATCACTTCTAGACTTTCACAAGCAACTGGCAAGACACAATCACTTCTAGACTTACACAAGCAACTGGCAAGACACAATCACTTCTAGACTTTCACAAGCAACTGGCAAGACACAATCACTTCTAGACTTTCACAAGCAACTCTCCATAAAAAAATCTTACACCCTTTTATTAATGCCAAGTTATGGATTAAATAAAAAAGTAAATTTGAAAGAATCCTTACACTGGCAGCTAAAGCTTGCGGAGATAGACTGGGACTGCCTGCAGGGTTACTGAGGAGGACCGTGGCCTGGTAGCCAGTACGTCCCTGCCCTGGCTGCAGTCCACACAGCACCAGATTGACGTACTGAGACAGGGGCTCAGCTCCCTGTGGGGCACATGTCAGCAGTGTGTCCCCGGCCCCCACCAGGGCAGAGGGTGACACGGCCTTTACAGACCTCTGCTGCCTCCCTCCCTCAGCCCACGTTAGAGTTATCTCTAGCTCGTCTGTCTTGATCTAAAGTCAAATGGTTTGGTTAGGTTAACATTATCTCTAGCTCGTCTGTCTTGATCTAAGTAAAGTCAAATGGTTTGGTTAGGTTAACATTATCTCTAGCTTGTCTGTCTTGATCTAAGTAAAGTCAAATGGTTTGGTTAGGTTAACATTATCTCTAGCTTGTCTGTCTTGATCTAAGTAAAGTCAAATGGTTTGGTTAGGTTAACATTATCTCTAGCTTGTCTGTCTTGATCTAAGTAAAGTCAAATGGTTTGGTTAGGTTAACATTATCTCTAGCTTGTCTGTCTTGATCTAAAGTCAAATGGTTTGGTTAGGTTAACATTATCTCTAGCTCGTCTGTCTTGATCTAAGTAAAGTCAAATGGTTTGGTTAGGTTAACATTATCTCTAGCTTGTCTGTCTTGATCTAAAGTCAAATGGTTTGGTTAGGTTAACATTATCTCTAGCTTGTCTGTCTTGATCTAAAGTCAAATGGTTTGGTTAGGTTAACATTATCTCTAGCTTGTCTGTCTTGATCTAAAGTCAAATGGTTTGGTTAGGTTAACATTATCTCTAGCTCGTCTGTCTTGATCTAAAGTCAAATGGTTTGGTTAGGTTAACATTATCTCTAGCTTGTCTGTCTTGATCTAAGTAAAGTCAAATGGTTTGGTTAGGTTAACATTATCTCTAGCTTGTCTGTCTTGATCTAAAGTCAAATGGTTTGGTTAGGTTAACATTATCTCTAGCTTGTCTGTCTTGATCTAAGTAAAGTCAAATGGTTTGGTTAGGTTAACATTATCTCTAGCTTGTCTGTCTTGATCTAAAGTCAAATGGTTTGGTTAGGTTAACATTATCTCTAGCTTGTCTGTCTTGATCTAAGTAAAGTCAAATGGTTTGGTTAGGTTAACATCTCTAGCTCGTCTGTCTTGATCTAAGTAAAGTCAAATGGTTTGGTTAGGTTAACATTATCTCTAGCTTGTCTGTCTTGATCTAAAGTCAAATGGTTTGGTTAGGTTAACATTATCTCTAGCTCGTCTGTCTTGATCTAAAGTCAAATGGTTTGGTTAGGTTAACATTATCTCTAGCTCGTCTGTCTTGATCTAAAGTCAAATGGTTTGGTTAGGTTAACATTATCTCTAGCTCATCTGTCTTGATCTAAAGTCAAATGGTTAGGTTAACATTATCTCTAGCTCATCTGTCTTGATCTAAAGTCAAATGGTTTGGTTAGGTTAACATTATCTCTAGCTCGTCTGTCTTGATCTAAAGTCAAATGGTTAGGTTAACATTATCTCTAGCTCGTCTGTCTTGATCTAAAGTCAAATGGTTTGGTTAGGTTAACATTATCTCTAGCTCATCTGTCTTGATCTAAAGTCAAATGGTTTGGTTAGGTTAACATTATCTCTAGCTCATCTGTCTTGATCTAAAGTCAAATGGTTAGGTTAACATTATCTCTAGCTCGTCTGTCTTGATCTAAGTAAAGTCAAATGGTTTGGTTAGGTTAACATTATCTCTAGCTGGTCTGTCTTGATCTAAAGTCAAATGGTTAGGTTAACATTATCTCTAGCTGGTCTGTCTTGATCTAAAGTCAAATGGTTTGGTTAGGTTAACATTATCTCTAGCTCGTCTGTCTTGATCTAAGTAAAGTCAAATGGTTTGGTTAGGTTAACATTATCTCTAGCTTGTCTGTCTTGATCTAAAGTCAAATGGTTTGGTTAGGTTAACATTATCTCTAGCTCGTCTGTCTTGATCTAAAGTCAAATGGTTTGGTTAGGTTAACATTATCTCTAGCTCGTCTGTCTTGATCTAAGTAAAGTCAAATGGTTTGGTTAGGTTAACATTATCTCTAGCTCGTCTGTCTTGATCTAAAGTCAAATGGTTTGGTTAGGTTAACATTATCTCTAGCTCGTCTGTCTTGATCTAAAGTCAAATGGTTTGGTTAGGTTAACATTATCTCTAGCTCGTCTGTCTTGATCTAAGTAAAGTCAAATGGTTTGGTTAGGTTAACATCTCTAGCTCGTCTGTCTTGATCTAAAGTCAAATGGTTTGGTTAGGTTAACATTATCTCTAGCTCGTCTGTCTTGATCTAAGTAAAGTCAAATGGTTTGGTTAGGTTAACATTATCTCTAGCTGGTCTGTCTTGATCTAAAGTCAAATGGTTTGGTTAGGTTAACATTATCTCTAGCTCGTCTGTCTTGATCTAAAGTCAAATGGTTTGGTTAGGTTAACATTATCTCTAGCTCGTCTGTCTTGATCTAAGTAAAGTCAAATGGTTTGGTTAGGTTAACATTATCTCTAGCTTGTCTGTCTTGATCTAAAGTCAAATGGTTTGGTTAGGTTAACATTATCTCTAGCTCGTCTGTCTTGATCTAAAGTCAAATGGTTTGGTTAGGTTAACATTATCTCTAGCTCATCTGTCTTGATCTAAAGTCAAATGGTTTGGTTAGGTTAACATTATCTCTAGCTCGTCTGTCTTGATCTAAGTAAAGTCAAATGGTTTGGTTAGGTTAACATTATCTCTAGCTCGTCTGTCTTGATCTAAAGTCAAATGGTTAGGTTAACATTATCTCTAGCTCATCTGTCTTGATCTAAAGTCAAATGGTTTGGTTAGGTTAACATTATCTCTAGCTCATCTGTCTTGATCTAAAGTCAAATGGTTAGGTTAACATTATCTCTAGCTCATCTGTCTTGATCTAAAGTCAAATGGTTTGGTTAGGTTAACATTATCTCTAGCTCGTCTGTCTTGATCTAAGTAAAGTCAAATGGTTTGGTTAGGTTAACATTATCTCTAGCTCGTCTGTCTTGATCTAAAGTCAAATGGTTAGGTTAACATTATCTCTAGCTCATCTGTCTTGATCTAAAGTCAAATGGTTTGGTTAGGTTAACATTATCTCTAGCTCGTCTGTCTTGATCTAAAGTCAAATGGTTTGGTTAACATTATCTCTAGCTCATCTGTCTTGATCTAAAGTCAAATGGTTTGGTTAGGTTAACATTATCTCTAGCTCGTCTGTCTTGATCTAAAGTCAAATGGTTTGGTTAGGTTAACATTATCTCTAGCTCGTCTGTCTTGATCTAAAGTCAAATGGTTTGGTTAGGTTAACATTATCTCTAGCTCGTCTGTCTTGATCTAAGTAAAGTCAAATGGTTTGGTTAGGTTAACATCTCTAGCTCGTCTGTCTTGATCTAAAGTCAAATGGTTTGGTTAGGTTAACATTATCTCTAGCTCGTCTGTCTTGATCTAAGTAAAGTCAAATGGTTTGGTTAGGTTAACATTATCTCTAGCTCGTCTGTCTTGATCTAAAGTCAAATGGTTTGGTTAGGTTAACATTATCTCTAGCTCGTCTGTCTTGATCTAAAGTCAAATGGTTTGGTTAGGTTAACATTATCTCTAGCTCGTCTGTCTTGATCTAAGTAAAGTCAAATGGTTTGGTTAGGTTAACATTATCTCTAGCTTGTCTGTCTTGATCTAAGTAAAGTCAAATGGTTTGGTTAGGTTAACATTATCTCTAGCTTGTCTGTCTTGATCTAAGTAAAGTCAAATGGTTTGGTTAGGTTAACATTATCTCTAGCTTGTCTGTCTTGATCTAAAGTCAAATGGTTTGGTTAGGTTAACATTATCTCTAGCTCGTCTGTCTTGATCTAAGTAAAGTCAAATGGTTTGGTTAGGTTAACATTATCTCTAGCTTGTCTGTCTTGATCTAAAGTCAAATGGTTTGGTTAGGTTAACATTATCTCTAGATCGTCTGTCTTGATCTAAAGTCAAATGGTTTGGTTAGGTTAACATTATCTCTAGCTCATCTGTCTTGATCTAAAGTCAAATGGTTTGGTTAGGTTAACATTATCTCTAGCTCGTCTGTCTTGATCTAAGTAAAGTCAAATGGTTTGGTTAGGTTAACATTATCTCTAGCTCGTCTGTCTTGATCTAAAGTCAAATGGTTAGGTTAACATTATCTCTAGCTCATCTGTCTTGATCTAAAGTCAAATGGTTTGGTTAGGTTAACATTATCTCTAGCTCATCTGTCTTGATCTAAAGTCAAATGGTTAGGTTAACATTATCTCTAGCTCATCTGTCTTGATCTAAAGTCAAATGGTTTGGTTAGGTTAACATTATCTCTAGCTCGTCTGTCTTGATCTAAGTAAAGTCAAATGGTTTGGTTAGGTTAACATTATCTCTAGCTCGTCTGTCTTGATCTAAAGTCAAATGGTTTGGTTAACATTATCTCTAGCTCGTCTGTCTTGATCTAAAGTCAAATGGTTAGGTTAACATTATCTCTAGCTCATCTGTCTTGATCTAAAGTCAAATGGTTTGGTTAGGTTAACATTATCTCTAGCTCATCTGTCTTGATCTAAAGTCAAATGGTTAGGTTAACATTATCTCTAGCTCATCTGTCTTGATCTAAAGTCAAATGGTTTGGTTAGGTTAACATTATCTCTAGCTCGTCTGTCTTGATCTAAAGTCAAATGGTTTGGTTAGGTTAACATTATCTCTAGCTCGTCTGTCTTGATCTAAAGTCAAATGGTTTGGTTAGGTTAACATTATCTCTAGCTCGTCTGTCTTGATCTAAGTAAAGTCAAATGGTTTGGTTAGGTTAACATCTCTAGCTCGTCTGTCTTGATCTAAAGTCAAATGGTTTGGTTAGGTTAACATTATCTCTAGCTCGTCTGTCTTGATCTAAGTAAAGTCAAATGGTTTGGTTAGGTTAACATTATCTCTAGCTCGTCTGTCTTGATCTAAAGTCAAATGGTTTGGTTAGGTTAACATTATCTCTAGCTCGTCTGTCTTGATCTAAAGTCAATTGGTTTGGTTAGGTTAACATTATCTCTAGCTCGTCTGTCTTGATCTAAGTAAAGTCAAATGGTTTGGTTAGGTTAACATTATCTCTAGCTTGTCTGTCTTGATCTAAAGTCAAATGGTTTGGTTAGGTTAACATTATCTCTAGCTCGTCTGTCTTGATCTAAAGTCAAATGGTTTGGTTAGGTTAACATTATCTCTAGCTCATCTGTCTTGATCTAAAGTCAAATGGTTTGGTTAGGTTAACATTATCTCTAGCTCGTCTGTCTTGATCTAAGTAAAGTCAAATGGTTTGGTTAGGTTAACATTATCTCTAGCTCGTCTGTCTTGATCTAAAGTCAAATGGTTAGGTTAACATTATCTCTAGCTCATCTGTCTTGATCTAAAGTCAAATGGTTTGGTTAGGTTAACATTATCTCTAGCTCATCTGTCTTGATCTAAAGTCAAATGGTTAGGTTAACATTATCTCTAGCTCATCTGTCTTGATCTAAAGTCAAATGGTTTGGTTAGGTTAACATTATCTCTAGCTCGTCTGTCTTGATCTAAGTAAAGTCAAATGGTTTGGTTAGGTTAACATTATCTCTAGCTCGTCTGTCTTGATCTAAAGTCAAATGGTTAGGTTAACATTATCTCTAGCTCATCTGTCTTGATCTAAAGTCAAATGGTTTGGTTAGGTTAACATTATCTCTAGCTCATCTGTCTTGATCTAAAGTCAAATGGTTAGGTTAACATTATCTCTAGCTCATCTGTCTTGATCTAAAGTCAAATGGTTTGGTTAGGTTAACATTATCTCTAGCTCGTCTGTCTTGATCTAAAGTCAAATGGTTAGGTTAACATTATCTCTAGCTCGTCTGTCTTGATCTAAAGTCAAATGGTTAGGTTAACATTATCTCTAGCTCGTCTGTCTTGATCTAAAGTCAAAAGTTTGGTTAGGTTAACATTATCTCTAGCTCATCTGTCTTGATCTAAAGTCAAATGGTTAGGTTAACATTATCTCTAGCTCATCTGTCTTGATCTAAGTAAAGTCAAATGGTTTGGTTAGGTTAACATTATCTCTAGCTCGTCTGTCTTGATCTAAAGTCAAATGGTTAGGTTAACATTATCTCTAGCTCATCTGTCTTGATCTAAGTAAAGTCAAATGGTTTGGTTAGGTTAACATTATCTCTAGCTGGTCTGTCTTGATCTAAAGTCAAATGGTTTGGTTAGGTTAACATTATCTCTAGCTCATCTGTCTTGATCTAAAGTCAAATGGTTTGGTTAGGTTAACATTATCTCTAGCTCATCTGTCTTGATCTAAAGTCAAATGGTTTGGTTAGGTTAACATTATCTCTAGCTCGTCTGTCTTGATCTAAAGTCAAATGGTTTGGTTAGGTTAACATTATCTCTAGCTCGTCTGTCTTGATCTAAAGTCAAATGGTTTGGTTAGGTTAACATTATCTCTAGCTCGTCTGTCTTGATCTAAGTAAAGTCAAATGGTTTGGTTAGGTTAACATTATCTCTAGCTCATCTGTCTTGATCTAAAGTCAAATGGTTAGGTTAACATTATCTCTAGCTCGTCTGTCTTGATCTAAGTAAAGTCAAATGGTTTGGTTAGGTTAACATTATCTCTAGCTCGTCTGTCTTGATCTAAAGTCAAATGGTTAGGTTAACATTATCTCTAGCTCGTCTGTCTTGATCTAAGTAAAGTCAAATGGTTTGGTTAGGTTAACATTATCTCTAGCTCGTCTGTCTTGATCTAAAGTCAAATGGTTTGGTTAGGTTAACATTATCTCTAGCTCGTCTGTCTTGATCTAAAGTCAAATGGTTAGGTTAACATTATCTCTAGCTCGTCTGTCTTGATCTAAAGTCAAATGGTTTGGTTAGGTTAACATTATCTCTAGCTCGTCTGTCTTGATCTAAGTAAAGTCAAATGGTTTGGTTAGGTTAACATTATCTCTAGCTCGTCTGTCTTGATCTAAAGTCAAATGGTTTGGTTAGGTTAACATTATCCCTAGCTCGTCTGTCTTGATCTAAGTAAAGTCAAATGGTTTGGTTAGGTTAACATCTCTAGCTCGTCTGTCTTGATCTAAAGTCAAATGGTTTGGTTAGGTTAACATTATCTCTAGCTCATCTGTCTTGATCTAAGTAAAGTCAAATGGTTTGGTTAGGTTAACATTATCTCTAGCTCGTCTGTCTTGATCTAAGTAAAGTCAAATGGTTTGGTTAGGTTAACATTATCTCTAGCTCGTCTGTCTTGATCTAAGTAAAGTCAAATGGTTTGGTTAGGTTAACATTATCTCTAGCTCGTCTGTCTTGATCTAAAGTCAAATGGTTTGGTTAGGTTAACATTATCTCTAGCTCGTCTGTCTTGATCTAAAGTCAAATGGTTTGGTTAGGTTAACATTATCTCTAGCTCGTCTGTCTTGATCTAAAGTCAAATGGTTTGGTTAGGTTAACATTATCTCTAGCTCGTCTGTCTTGATCTAAGTAAAGTCAAATGGTTTGGTTAGGTTAACATTATCTCTAGCTCGTCTGTCTTGATCTAAAGTCAAATGGTTTGGTTAGGTTAACATTATCTCTAGCTTGTCTGTCTTGATCTAAAGTCAAATGGTTTGGTTAGGTTAACATTATCTCTAGCTCGTCTGTCTTGATCTAAAGTCAAATGGTTTGGTTAGGTTAACATTATCTCTAGCTCATCTGTCTTGATCTAAAGCCAAATGGTTTGGTTAGGTTAACATTATCTCTAGCTCATCTGTCTTGATCTAAAGTCAAATGGTTAGGTTAACATTATCTCTAGCTCGTCTGTCTTGATCTAAAGTCAAATGGTTTGGTTAGGTTAACATTATCTCTAGCTCGTCTGTCTTGATCTAAGTAAAGTCAAATGGTTTGGTTAGGTTAACATTATCTCTAGCTCGTCTGTCTTGATCTAAAGTCAAATGGCTAGGTTAACATTATCTCTAGCTCGTCTGTCTTGATCTAAAGTCAAATGGTTAGGTTAACATTATCTCTAGCTCGTCTGTCTTGATCTAAAGTCAAATGGTTTGGTTAGGTTAACATTATCTCTAGCTCATCTGTCTTGATCTAAAGTCAAATGGTTTGGTTAGGTTAACATTATCTCTAGCTCATCTGTCTTGATCTAAAGTCAAATGGTTAGGTTAACATTATCTCTAGCTCATCTGTCTTGATCTAAGTAAAGTCAAATGGTTTGGTTAGGTTAACATTATCTCTAGCTGGTCTGTCTTGATCTAAAGTCAAATGGTTTGGTTAGGTTAACATTATCTCTAGCTCGTCTGTCTTGATCTAAAGTCAAATGGTTTGGTTAGGTTAACATTATCTCTAGCTCGTCTGTCTTGATCTAAGTAAAGTCAAATGGTTTGGTTAGGTTAACATTATCTCTAGCTCGTCTGTCTTGATCTAAAGTCAAATGGTTTGGTTAGGTTAACATTATCTCTAGCTCGTCTGTCTTGATCTAAAGTCAAATGGTTTGGTTAGGTTAACATTATCTCTAGCTCGTCTGTCTTGATCTAAGTAAAGTCAAATGGTTTGGTTAGGTTAACATTATCTCTAGCTCGTCTGTCTTGATCTAAAGTCAAATGGTTTGGTTAGGTTAACATTATCTCTAGCTCGTCTGTCTTGATCTAAAGTCAAATGGTTTGGTTAGGTTAACATTATCTCTAGCTCGTCTGTCTTGATCTAAGTAAAGTCAAATGGTTTGGTTAGGTTAACATCTCTAGCTCGTCTGTCTTGATCTAAAGTCAAATGGTTTGGTTAGGTTAACATTATCTCTAGCTCGTCTGTCTTGATCTAAAGTCAAATGGTTTGGTTAGGTTAACATTATCTCTAGCTCGTCTGTCTTGATCTAAGTAAAGTCAAATGGTTTGGTTAGGTTAACATTATCTCTAGCTTGTCTGTCTTGATCTAAAGTCAAATGGTTTGGTTAGGTTAACATTATCTCTAGCTTGTCTGTCTTGATCTAAAGTCAAATGGTTTGGTTAGGTTAACATTATCTCTAGCTCGTCTGTCTTGATCTAAAGTCAAATGGTTTGGTTAGGTTAACATTATCTCTAGCTCATCTGTCTTGATCTAAAGTCAAATGGTTTGGTTAGGTTAACATTATCTCTAGCTCGTCTGTCTTGATCTAAGTAAAGTCAAATGGTTTGGTTAGGTTAACATTATCTCTAGCTCGTCTGTCTTGATCTAAAGTCAAATGGTTAGGTTAACATTATCTCTAGCTCATCTGTCTTGATCTAAAGTCAAATGGTTAGGTTAACATTATCTCTAGCTCATCTGTCTTGATCTAAAGTCAAATGGTTTGGTTAGGTTAACATTATCTCTAGCTCGTCTGTCTTGATCTAAAGTCAAATGGTTTGGTTAGGTTAACATTATCTCTAGCTCGTCTGTCTTGATCTAAAGTCAAATGGTTAGGTTAACATTATCTCTAGCTCATCTGTCTTGATCTAAAGTCAAATGGTTAGGTTAACATTATCTCTAGCTCGTCTGTCTTGATCTAAAGTCAAATGGTTTGGTTAGGTTAACATTATCTCTAGCTCGTCTGTCTTGATTAAAAAAAGTGAAACTGTCACCTAACTTACAGGCATTTTTTGTGTAATGATGACTTCAGCATTGTCTGGTACAGGGTAGGGCTTAAGGGGCTGCTTGACTGTGGAGTTGATGAACTCTGAGAAGTCCTCTACAATAGACACCAACTTCTGAGCTGCCTTGTAGTACACTTCAATGTTGTCTGTGGGGATCAGCTTGGCCTGTGGGTGAGGGAGATATGATCACTTGGTACAACATCAACATTTCACTGTACTAGGCCTGTGGGTGAGGGAGATAACATGATAACAACATGGCACTGTACCAGGCCTGTGGGTGAGGGAGATAACATGATCACAACATGGCACTGTACCAGGCCTGTGGGTGAGGGAGATAACATGATCACAACATGGCACTGTACTAGGCCTGTGGGTGAGGGAGATAACATGATCACAACATGGCACTGTACCAGGCCTGTGGGTGAGGGAGATAACATGATCACAACATGGCACTGTACCAGGCCTGTGGGTGAGGGAGATAACATGATCACAACATGGCACTGTACTAGGCCTGTGGGTGAGGGAGATAACATGATCACAACATGGCACTGTACCAGGCCTGTGGGTGAGGGAGATAACATGATCACAACATGGCACTGTACCAGGCCTGTGGGTGAGGGAGATGATCACAACATGGCACTGTACTAGGCCTGTGGGTGAGGGAGATAACATGATCACAACATGGCACTGTACCAGGCCTGTGGGTGAGGGAGATGATCACAACATGGCACTGTACTAGGCCTGTGGGTGAGGGAGATAACATGATCACAACGTGGCACTGTACCAGGCCTGTGGGTGAGGGAGATAACATGATCACATGGTACAACATGGCACTGTACCAGGCCTGTGGGTGAGGGAGATAACATGATCACAACCTGGCACTGTACCAGGCCTGTGGGTGAGGGAGATAACATGATCACAACCTGGCACTGTACCAGGCCTGTGGGTGAGGGAGATAACATGATCACAACCTGGCACTGTACCAGGCCTGTGGGTGAGGGAGATTACAACATGGCACTGTACCAGGCCTGTGGGTGAGGGAGATAACATGGTACAACGTGGCACTGTACTAGGCCTGTGGGTGAGGGAGATAACATGATCACAACATGGCACTGTACTAGGCCTGTGGGTGAGGGAGATAACATGATCACAACATGGCACTGTACCAGGCCTGTGGGTGAGGGAGATAACATGATCACAACCTGGCACTGTACCAGACAGGCCCTCAATGCCAGCACCAAATCTACACTTTGATTACCTTAGATGGGGTTGACTTTTGATGAGGCATTTCAGTCCTACACACAATGGTTAGATCAAATCCAATACAAAGACAACTTTAAGTAAAGCTGGAACTGAATCAATCTTCTCTTTACAGACAACAAATAAAGACTGAACTCAGCTCAACACACCAAAACACTTGAGCTAAGGGAAACTACTCACTTGTTTTCTTAATTTCTGGACACGATTGATTACTTCCCTTGCTACTCCTTCATTCAGCATTGCCTCATCAGGTTCAATGTCCAACAGAACTAAGATCTAAAGAGAGACACATCTTAAATTCATTAGACACGATGCACATTTTCTAGGCTAGGAAAGTGTTTGGGGAGCTCCAGGTCAAACAACCATGGGGCAACACAGGACACCCCTAACACTGTTTGACTATTGTATCAAGTAAACACAGGACACCCCTAATAGGTGTGAATGGTAAAGTGAATGGTAAAAAGCGCATGACCTTTCCTAATGTTGGGGGTGGGGTCTTTTTATAGGTCTAATTTGGGGAGGGAGCACAAAATTGATATTTTGCTCTGGACGCTGAAATAGGTCGCTACACCTTTGACCACCAGAGCACTTGAGGACACTGAACTATGAGCCCACTAGAGCTAGAGGACACTGAATTCTGATGCCCACCAGAGCTAGAGGACACTGAATTCTGATGCCCACTAGAGGACACTGAATTCTGATGCCCACTAGAGGACACTGAATTCTGATGCCCACTAGAGGACACTGAATTCTGATGCCCACCAGAGTTAGAGGACACTGAATTCTGATGCCCACCAGAGGACACTGAATTCTGATGCCCACCAGAGTTAGAGGACGCTGAATTCTGATGCCCACTAGAGCTAGAGGACACTGAATTCTGATGCCCACCAGAGCTAGAGGACACTGAATTCTGATGCCCAACAGAGCTAGAGGACACTGAATTCTGATGCCCACCAGAGATGTAGTTTGACTCAAGTATTACCCCTGACACCCTGGAGAACTCTGGGTGCCTTACACACACTACCACCAGGACGCCGCCCCTCCAATAATGAAATACATTTTGTGGAAGCTACTCTCCCTGGACTGTACTCAACAACCTCCCTAAGTGTCAAGGTCATTGGATGAATGGTGTAATGCTGAATTAAAGACAGTCAGAGATTCTTTCATTTGTATAGATGCCAAGCAGCCCAAGCCAACCTTTCCATCAGAGTGTGCCTCGTAGTGTTGTGGTGTGTCCCCAGACTTGTCAAAGTGGTACAGGATTCTCAGGTCTCCCTCCTCCATCTTGTGCCCTGCCACATCCAGTGATCCTTCAGACTGGTACCTACACACAAACATTGGCAACATCAACATCAAGACATTGGGAACACCAACACCAACAAGACATTGGCAACATCAACAAGACATTGGCAACATCAACAAGACATTGGCAACATCAACATCAACAAGACATTGGCAAAATCAACATCAACAAGACATTGGCAACATCAACAAAACATTGGCAACATCAACATCAACAAGACATTGGCAACATCAACAAGACATTGGCAACATCAACATCAACAAAACATTGACAACATCAACAAAACATTGGCAACATCAACAAGACATTGGCAACATCAACATCAACAAAACATTGGCAACACCAACATCAACAAGACATTGGGAACATCAACAAGACATTGGCAACATCAACAAGACATTGGCAACATCAACAAGACATTGGCAACATCAACAAGACATTGGCAACATCAACAAGACATTGGCAACATCAACATCAACAAGACATTGGCAACATCAACATCAACAAGACATTGGCAACATCAACAAGACATTGGTAACATCAACATCAACAAGACATTGGCAACATCAACAAAACATTGGCAACATCAACAAGACATTGGCAACATCAACAAGACATTGGCAACATCAACAAGACATTGGCAACATCAACAAGACATTGGCAACATCAACATCAACAAGACATTGGCAACATCAACATCAACAAGACATTGGTAACATCAACATCAACAAGACATTGGCAACATCAACAAGACATTGGCAACATCAACATCAACAAGACATTGGCAACATCAACACGACATTGGCAACATCAACAAGACATTGGCAACATCAACAAGACATTGGCAACATCAACAAGACATTGGCAACATCAACAAGACATTGGCAACATCAACAAGACATTGGCAACATCAACAAGACATTGGCAACATCAACAAGACATTGGCAACATCAACAAGACATTGGCAACATCAACAAGACATTGGCAACATCAACACGACATTGGCAACATCAACAAGACATTGGCAACATCAACATCAACAAGACATTGGTAACATCAACAAGACATTGGCAACATCAACACGACATTGGTAACATCAACATCAACAAGACATTGGCAACATCAACAAGACATTGGCAACATCAACATCAACAAGACATTGGCAAAATCAACATCAACAAAACATTGACAACATCAACAAGACATTGGCAACATCAACAAGACATTGGCAACATCAACATCAACAAGACATTGGCAACATCAACATCAACAAGACATTGGCAACATCAACAAGACATTGGCAACATCAACATCAACAAGACATTGGCAACATCAACAAGACATTGACAACATCAACAAGACATTGGCAACATCAACATCAACAAGACATTGGCAACATCAACAAGACATTGGCAACATCAACATCAACAAGACATTGGCAACATCAACAAGACATTGGTAACATCAACATCAACAAGACATTGGCAACATCAACAAGACATTGGCAACATCAACAAGACATTGGCAAGATCAACAAGACATTGGCTGCCACATCCAATCATCTCTCTAGATAAACAAGACGTTTGATCTAAATATTTCTAATCCAACCTTTCTATTTCTTCATCTTTCAAAGCTTTGATGTGATTGGTCACTGCACTTAGCGCTGAGCCAAGTCTTTTGCCCAGCTGTCTATGGTCAGGCTCTGCTTTTAACTGGACGCCATACAGGTTCTTGTCCATTGTAATGGTCAACTTTCTTATATTCAGCTCCTGAAGTTGGATGACAAGAAAAGTTGTGTCAAGAAACTGACAAGAATAAAACAATGGCAAGAATGTGTTTATAACTGACAAGAATAAAACAATGGCAAGAATGTGTTTATAAATGACAAGAATAAAACAATGGCAAGAATGTGTTTATAACTGACAAGAATAAAACAATGGCAAGAATGTGTTTATAACTGACAAGAATAAAACAATGGCAAGAATGTGTTTATAAATGAGGAGATGATGGAAGATGATAACCTTACATGACGTTACATGACACATGTGTAGAGCAGCACGCACATACACGCATACAATGTAACATGTATACAGTGTAACACGCACATACAGTGTAACACACACATAGTGTAACATACACATAGTGTAACACACACATAGTGTAACACATACATACAGTGTAACACACACACATACAGTGTAACACACACATACAGTGTAACACACACATACAGTGTAACACACATACAGTGTAACACACACATACAGTGTAACACACACATAGTGTAACACACACATACAGTGTAACACACACATAGTGTAACACACATACAGTGTAACACACACATACAGTGTAACACACACATAGTGTAACACACACATACAGTGTAACAGACACATACAGTGTAACACACACATACAGTGTAACACACACATACAGTGTAACACACACATAGTGTAACACACACATACAGTGTAACACACACATAGTGTAACACACATACAGTGTAACACACATACAGTGTAACACACACATACAGTGTAACACACACATAGTGTAACACACACATACAGTGTAACACACACATAGTGTAACACACATACAGTGTAACACACACATACAGTGTAACACACACATAGTGTAACACACACATACAGTGTAACAGACACATACAGTGTAACACACACATAGTGTAACACACACATACAGTGTAACACACACATACAGTGTAACACACACATAGTGTAACACACACATACAGTGTAACACACACATACAGTGTAACACACACATAGTGTAACACACACACAGTGTAACACACACATACAGTGTAACACACATATACAGTGTAACACACACATACAGTGTAACACACACACACACAGTTTAACACACGCATGTAGTACAACATACACATGTGTAGTGCATCACCCTCCAGTTGTTCAGTAGAGATAAAAAAAACAAACAACTGAGAACATTTTCACAGCAAACTGTAGCCACCTCTTATATTCACACACCTCTAATATATACCCATCCCTGGAGGCATAGTGACCCATTCCAGCGCCCTGGATAAACTTCTAATTTGGTATCCCCCCCCCTTCCCCCTCTCTCTCTCTCTATATATATATATCCCTATATATATATATATATATATATATATATATATATATATATATATATATATATATATATATATATCCCTATATATATATATATATATATCCCTATATATATATGATACTGGATTACTGCAGGTTATCATTCAGCAGAACTAGAATGTACTTTCCATTATAAATAATTTGTATAGATTTGGACAGAGTATTATTATGGAAATGTCTGAAGGACTAAGTAGTTCCAGATAAAATAATCTAATAATTAACCTTACTTAAAATGCAAAGTGATAAGCACTCAGAAACTTTTAAGGTAGACCTTGCAGTGAGACTGTATAATTAACAATGAGATGTGAATCAGCCACGATAGAATGAAATAATCAAGTAATTTGACAAAGTGCTTCAAAATCCCAGTATAAATCCATTTCACTAAGTTGGCAAAAAAGCCCCCTTCCCATTTTCAGCAGTTTTTTACTGGTAATTGACTCTTAATGGTATTTGTTTGACTGTTACACTATTAAGGCAGAAAACAGATCAATCAGTGTGTAAAGCATCCTAGCCATTTATTTTCTTAACTTTGACTGTATAATTCAATATAGCAAAATAAAATGAGCTTTTTATTTTTGTTCCTACCCTTTTGGTGCCTCTCTATGGTCTGAGGGCAGCCCTCATAGTGATCTAGTTATACCAGTGCCCACTACTTCTAGCCCTCCTAGTGATCTAGTTATACCAGTGCCCACTACTTCTAGACCTCCTAGTGATCTAGTTATACCAGTGCCCACTACTTCTTATACATACCCACCTGTAATATGCACCCACCTGTAATATATACTCACATCTAATATGTACCCACCTGTAATATATACTCACATCTAATATGTACCCAACTGTAATATATACTCACATCTAATATGTACCCACCTGTAATATATACTCACATCTAATATGTACCCACCTCTAATATGTAACCACCTGTAATATGTAACCACCTGTAATATGTAACCACCTGTAATGTGCACCCACCTCTAATATGTACTTCTCTAAAGATCTTAGATCATCCATAGAATCCTGATCTTTAACTATGGCCACCACTTCTTTCAATGGATACTGTCAACAAAAAGGAAAAAGTTATTTTAGAAAAATATGTACACACAAAACATGATGCCCATTTTATTGAACATCTAACCCATTTATCTAAGCAGATGTTTACATGACCTGTGTAACTGTATATCAAACTGTAAAATGGCTGCAGAGCATTTTTGAAGATCCCTATGTTTAGAAGATTTTAAGATAGTGTTCTAGGTCATATGAACAACAAATGAAGGCTTCGAATCTAATATAAGTTCGTTAAGAGTTAAGGCCTATTTAATGATAGTACCTAGTAAAAGTCCTATTGTATCTCTACATGTTATTTAAAGCATAATTTAAATCTACAATTCAATTGTCAATACCAAAAAGAACATCCAGAAGCTAGATTGTCCACATTATCTAGACTATTAGTAGATCTAGTATTAGATGATACTTGTAAATATTGTATGTAAACTAGGCCATTGGACCGTATGCCAAAGGGAGATAATCGCTTTTCCCAATTCAATTTATTAGTTTTCTTAATTAATTATTTTTTGGAAACAGCTGAACAAACTTCAACAAAAAACGAATGGCTGAACAGTAGGCATGTCTGTACTACATTGGGCGACACAGGCAATAACAGTATTTTTTCCAGCCCATAGACATACCTGGTCAAACAGCCTGTACATTTAACTAGAGGTTTACCTTAAGTGGTACAGCCTGTACATTTAACTAGAGGTTTACCTTGAGTGGCACAAACAGCCTGTACATTTAACTAGAGGTTTACCTTGAGTGGTACAAACAGCCTGCACATTTAACTAGAGGTTTAGTGGCACAAACAGCCTGTACATGTAACTAGAGGTTTACCTTGAGTGGTACAAACAGCCTGTACATTTAACTAGAGGTTTAGTGGCACAAACAGCCTGTACATTTAACTAGAGGTTTAGTGGCACAAACAGCCTGCACATTTAACTAGAGGTTTACCTTGAGTGGCACAAACAGCCTGTACATTTAACTAGAGGTTTACCTTGAGTGGTACAAACAGCCTGCACATTTAACTAGAGGTTTAGTGGCACAAACAGCCTGTACATGTAACTAGAGGTTTACCTTGAGTGGTACAAACAGCCTGTACATTTAACTAGAGGTTTAGTGGCACAAACAGCCTGTACATTTAACTAGAGGTTTAGTGGCACAAACAGCCTGCACATTTAACTAGAGGTTTAGTGGCACAAACAGCCTGTACATTTAACTAGAGGTTTAGTGGCACAAACAGCCTGCACATTTAACTAGAGGTTTAGTGGCACAAACAGCCTGTACATGTAACTAGAGGTTTACCTTGAGTGGTACAAACAGCCTGTACATTTAACTAGAGGTTTAGTGGCACAAACAGCCTGTACATTTAACTAGAGGTTTAGTGGCACAAACAGCCTGTACATTTAACTAGAGGTTTAGTGGCACAAACAGCCTGTACATTTAACTAGAGGTTTACCTTGAGTGGCAGAGTTTTCCTGTCACGTACCACGCGGCCCAGCTCTATGACAGACTGCATGCGGGCCACAGCTGTCTCAATCTTCTTCTGGATCATGAACTCCCTGGTGATTAATTAGACAATCAGTCAACCATCTGGGGGGGGGGGGGGGGGGGGGGGGGGAGAAGACAACAACCACAGGCATGCTATCTACCATCTGACCTGTCTTATGTTACAGTGGGGCAGGTGCAAGTAGCGTACTAACTTCTTGGATTATGGGGTCTGACAAAAATAGAACTGGTTTTCAAAAAACCCGGAGATACCACCAAAAAAACTCCTAGACCAAACCCCCATTTGAGATTTTGATAAAGAAAAAAAAAAATTAAATAAAAATTATCATTTAAAACAGATGTTTTGAAACTTGTGTTACCTAGGTTTGGGAAGCATCAAGAAGTGAACACTGCGAGCATCAGGTTCACTGGACAAGTCCACCATCTCCTTCAAACCCTGGTAGATTGTTTCTGTCAGGAACGGTGTAAATGGTGCCTGCACAAAAGACATTTTCAAGATGGTAATTGTATTATTTTAAAAATTTCTATTGAATAATTATCAATAACTTAATACTTGAACTAAATTAATTTATGTGAGAGTTGTACATGGCTAGAGTTACCTACCATGATCCTGGTGATGACAAAGATGACATTACACAGTGTCTCAAGGGCCTTCTTGCTGTCAGCTTTACCAGAGTCACCCTTGTAGATAACAACTCAGTTATTAACATACACTGGCCACCACTGTCCTAAATCACAACCCACCCACCCCCCCCCCCCCCAAGTTATTAACATACAATGACCACCACTGTCTGAAGTCACACCCCCCCCCCCTCGTTATTAACATACACTGGCCACCACTGTCCTAACTCACAGCCCCCCCCCCCCTCCATCTAGTCAGAAATGTCCTCCCCCCCCCCCCCAACACACACCCACCACACATGGTAATCCCTTATACCTTGAGTCTTTTCCTGTTCATCCTCACATACCAGTTGGTCAGCTGATCAATGAACTTCACCAGACGTGGAGTCACAGTATACAAACGGTAGGCTAAAATTGTTTTGATCAAAGTTACTTAAGGTGTCACATAATACAAACGGTAGGCTAAAAAATTCAAGTTAAATTTCATGAAAGAAATCCAAGTTACATTTTTTTGTGTGACATGGTGAAAAGCAGCACAAGTGAACAAGGTACCTCTCATTTCCTCCTCGACATATTTGACCAGTGACTGTGTGAAGGACAAGATCCACCTGTCCATGTAGTTGTCTGATATGTCTCGCTTCTTCTCAATGACCACAATCTTGTCCCCAGTTTCCTGAAAGTTATTGACACTTACTACAGTTACTAAGATAATCACAATAAACTTGCTCCTACAGACTGTTGCATGTGATTTTAAACTTTTCCCCTCCATTCAATTGTCCCTTTTCTTGGTGGACACTTGAGGAGTGGCTTATTTGGCTGGATATTTTAACATTTTTAAAAATCATCTTTTTTTAAAAAGTGGAAATAAGTTCAATACAAAAGGCTCATTTAATTATCTGCAAACATAAAATGCTTTAGGGAAATGCAATCTTTATTCAACATAGAATTTTGTCTTTGTTTCTCTATGGAGTCAGGTACACATCAGAGCTTGGTGGACTCAGGGATGTCCTACAGACTTGAGCCCTGGATACAAAATCTTTAGGGTTAGCGGTTGTAAGATCTAGCATTGAACCCCGCCATCCCATGTTTACATGTACTGAGACACAAACATTTCAAGTGATCATCTTGGCAAACTTACCTCTTCCCAGATCTTGACATACTGAGCCAAAAATCTAAAGGCATTGTACCAAGGTAGGAAGACGTCCTTGAGAATATCCCTGACACCCTCCTCCTTGAAGCGTAGGTTCTCAGCTCTAACTGATGGGGAGTTGATCAGATACAACCTGGACAAATACAACAGTACAGAGCTGATACAACCTGGACAAATACAACAGTACAGAGCTGATACAACCTGGACAAATACAACAGTACAGAGCTGATACAACCTGGACAAATACAACAGTACAGAGTTGATACAAACTGGACAAATACAACAGTACAGAGTTGATACAACCTGGACAAATACAACAGTACAGAGCTGATACAACCTGGACAAATACAACAGTACAGAGTTGATACAACCTGGACAAATACAACAGTACAGAGTTGATACAACCTGGACAAATACAACAGTACAGATCAGATACAACCTGGACAAATACAACAGTACAGAGCTGATACAGCCTGGACAAATACAACAGTACAGAGCTGATACAACCCGGACAAATACAACAGTACAGAGCTGATACAACCTGGACAAATACAACAGTACAGAGCTGATACAACCTGGACAAATACAACAGTACAAAGTTAAAAGAACATGGACAAATACAACAGTACAGAGCTGATACAACCTGGACAAATACAACAGTACAAAGTTAAAAGAACATGGACAAATACAACAGTACAGAGCAGATACAACCTGGACAAATACAACAGTACAGAGTTGATACAACCTGGACAAATACAACAGTACAGAGCTGATACAACCTGGACAAATACAACAGTACAGAGCTGATACAACCTGGACAAATACAACAGTACAGAGCTGATACAACCTGGACAAATACAACAGTACAAAGTTAAAAGAACATGGACAAATACAACAGTACAGAGCTGATACAACCTGGACAAATACAACAGTACAGAGTTGATACAACCTGGACAAATACAACAGTACAGAGCTGATACAACCTGGACAAATACAACAGTACAGAGCTGATACAACCTGGACAAATACAACAGTACAGAGTTGATACAACCTGGACAAATACAACAGTACAGAGCTGATACAACCTGGACAAATACAACAGTACAGAGTTGATACAACCTGGACAAATACAACAGTACAGAGCTGATACAACCTGGACAAATACAACAGTACAGAGCTGATACAACCTGGACAAATACAACAGTACAGAGTTGATACAAACTGGACAAATACAACAGTACAGAGCTGATACAACCTGGACAAATACAACAGTACAGAGTTGATACAAACTGGACAAATACAACAGTACAGAGCTGATACAACCTGGACAAATACAACAGTACAAAGTTAAAAGAACATGGACAAATACAACAGTACAGAGCTGATACAACCTGGACAAATACAACAGTACAGAGTTGATACAACCTGGACAAATACAACAGTACAGAGCTGATACAACCTGGACAAATACAACAGTACAGAGCTGATACAACCTGGACAAATACAACAGTACAGAGCTGATACAACCTGGACAAATACAACAGTACAGAGCTGATACAACCTGGACAAATACAACAGTACAGAGCTGATACAACCTGGACAAATACAACAGTACAGAGTTGATACAAACTGGACAAATACAACAGTACAGAGTTGATACAACCTGGACAAATACAACAGTACAGAGCTGATACAACCTGGACAAATACAACAGTACAGAGTTGATACAACCTGGACAAATACAACAGTACAGAGTTGATACAACCTGGACAAATACAACAGTACAGATCAGATACAACCTGGACAAATACAACAGTACAGAGCTGATACAGCCTGGACAAATACAACAGTACAGAGCTGATACAACCCGGACAAATACAACAGTACAGAGCTGATACAGCCTGGACAAATACAACAGTACAGAGCTGATACAACCTGGACAAATACAACAGTACAGAGCTGATACAACCTGGACAAATACAACAGTACAAAGTTAAAAGAACATGGACAAATACAACAGTACAGAGCTGATACAACCTGGACAAATACAACAGTACAGAGCTGATACAGCCTGGACAAATACAACAGTACAGAGGTGATACAACCTGGACAAATACAACAGTACAGAGCTGATACAACCCGGACAAATACAACAGTACAGAGCTGATACAGCCTGGACAAATACAACAGTACAGAGCTGATACAACCTGGACAAATACAACAGTACAGAGCTGATACAACCTGGACAAATACAACAGTACAAAGTTAAAAGAACATGGACAAATACAACAGTACAGAGCAGATACAACCTGGACAAATACAACAGTACAAAGTTAAAAGAACATGGACAAATACAACAGTACAGAGCTGATACAACCTGGACAAATACAACAGTACAGAGTTGATACAACCTGGACAAATACAACAGTACAGAGCTGATACAACCTGGACAAATACAACAGTACAGAGCTGATACAACCTGGACAAATACAACAGTACAGAGTTGATACAACCTGGACAAATACAACAGTACAGAGCTGATACAACCTGGACAAATACAACAGTACAGAGTTGATACAACCTGGACAAATACAACAGTACAGAGCTGATACAACCTGGACAAATACAACAGTACAGAGCTGATACAACCTGGACAAATACAACAGTACAGAGTTGATACAAACTGGACAAATACAACAGTACAGAGCTGATACAACCTGGACAAATACAACAGTACAGAGTTGATACAAACTGGACAAATACAACAGTACAGAGCTGATACAACCTGGACAAATACAACAGTACAAAGTTAAAAGAACATGGACAAATACAACAGTACAGAGCTGATACAACCTGGACAAATACAACAGTACAGAGTTGATACAACCTGGACAAATACAACAGTACAGAGCTGATACAACCTGGACAAATACAACAGTACAGAGCTGATACAACCTGGACAAATACAACAGTACAGAGCTGATACAACCTGGACAAATACAACAGTACAGAGCTGATACAACCTGGACAAATACAACAGTACAGAGCTGATACAACCTGGACAAATACAACAGTACAGAGCTGATACAACCTGGACAAATACAACAGTACAGAGTTGATACAAACTGGACAAATACAACAGTACAGAGCTGATACAACCTGGACAAATACAACAGTACAGAGTTGATACAAACTGGACAAATACAACAGTACAGAGCTGATACAGCCTGGACAAATACAACAGTATAAAGTTGTTACAATCACACAAGAGCACACACAGAATGTTTATCATCATATAAATGGTACCTGAACTGCTTGAGGTGACTGACCTGATGGCATCAGCTCCATACTTGTGTACAACAGACATGGGGTCTGGGTAGTTCTGTTTTCTTTTGCTCATCTTCTGGCCATCTCTGTAACATCAAAACATTAACAGCATGTGCACCATTGGGTTTAATAGTAAACAAAGTTAAGATCATCTGGGTAGACATCAGACCAAATTTTTAAAAGGTCAAACTTACGCGGCTAAAACAAGACCATTGCAGACCAAATTTTTAAAAGGTGCCTTGCCAAACAACAGTGTGGAGACAACTATCAGGGTGTAGAACCTGAAACAATAAAGACAGTATCAGTGGCATGACATGGCAAGGGAGTGGCATGACATGTCATGGGGAGTGGCATCGCATGTCATGGGGAGTGGCATCGCATGGCATGGGGAGTGGCTCTTCAGGGCAGTAGAATATCAAGTTAACCCTTTGAGCCCGGACTTCCCTGACCTAATTTCTCCCATTTCCTGAGCTCCCAGGGCCAAACCAATTTTCACTTATCTGCTTCTAACTTTGCCTATAACTTTTGAACCGTTTGAGATAATCAAGCCAAATTTGGTATCCAGATTCAGGATCAAACAACAATGCAGCAACATTCTGAAATTCTTTATTTTTTTTACAATGTTTGAACAGAACAATGTACATAAAACGAACGTATAATTATTGTTTTGATAGAACATAGAATAAACCAATTTACATTTAGTAATTGTTTTGTTATTATTGATACCTGGCCATACTAGTTCATCGCCAGAAGTCCACTTTTGTGTGATAACTTTCAAAACAGTTATCACTGCCGGACCCGATGCAAAGAAAAACTTCGCATGTTTTGCACCCGTAAACTTTTTTTTTCGTTTCGGCAAGTCTTTGTCCTTGGCACCACGTACATCATAACGTACTTGAACAGTTTCATTGTCACTGTCAATTTCAATGTCACTGTGTTCAGTCTCAAATTCAACGTCACTATCATCACAATATAGACTATGAATATTATCTTCTTCATCAGAATCAATAAGTAGTTGTATTGCCTGAGATGTAGTCATTCTACTTCTTTTGTTGATATTTCGGTCTTTTGCTTCATCTTTTGCACCAACTTTATGTGCTGAAGTCGATGGCTGTGGCTCAGCTTTCCGTTTGCTACGAAATGTAAACACTTTCACTTTTCCTAAAATCTATTTTTAGAATCATAATCACACACTAAAAAGACACATGCGCAGTTTTAGTCAGTCTTCCGCTAATTATATTTAATTAGACGGTAAACCGGCCGCTAGGAATATGACGCTAGATCATCGGGCTGGAAAACCGGCTTTTCGGACATATATGCCTAATGTTGAAGCCGGTTTACCGGCCTGGCGGGCTCAAAGGGTTAAAGACAAAACTTCTACCTATTAGAGAAAACCTACATAGAGTTCTAGCTAGTAAAGGAGAAAACCTACATAGAGTTCCAACTAGTAAAGTAGAAAACCTACATAGAGTCCCAACTAGTAAAGGAGAAAACCTACATAGAGTTCCAACTAGTAAAGTAGAAAACCTACATAGAGTCCCAACTAGTAAAGGCTTACCATCCTCTAGTTTGATCAATTCCCTCAGCAATGAAGTCAGCGGGGAATGTATCTTCAAATTCTTTGCGGTTCTCAAATGGGTAGTGGGCCTTTCCATAGGGCATAGAGCCAGACTCAAACCAGCAGTCAAACACCTCCGTCACTCGACGCAACACACCTCTTCCAGTTTTGGAGGGAATGGTCAGGGGGTCAACACTGGAACAAACATTAATTGATCAGGTAATCTTGGATCAACAAACATTAATTGATCAGGTAATCTTGGATCAACAAACATTAATTGATCAGGAAATCTTGGATCAACAAACATTAATTGATCAGGAAATCTTGGATCAACAAACATTAATTGATCAGGAAATCTTGGATCAACAAACATTAATTGATCAGGAAATCTTGGATCAACAAACATAATTGATCAGGAAATCTTGGATCAACAAACATAATTGATCAGGAAATCTTTCCTTGGATAATTTTTACCACTTAAGTAAATATAACATCAACAGCTTTGGAAGGGTTCTTATCATAGGGGATGTTTTACAAAAATATTCCATTTTATCTATATATTAAACATGTCACTGGGCTTTAATGACATTTAAAAATGTCTAATCTTTGAGAAAATATGTCAAGAAAATATAATTTGATTAATGTGAAAGAAATAGAAAGAAAATATGAGTTGGCCACCAGTGATGTATTGGTCCATGAGTACAAAAAAGAAAATAAATGAGGGTAAAGGTTAGAGACTTACAACTCCCTGTGAAGGTCAGTGATCTCCACACCTGTCAGTTCCTTGAGTTCAGCTATAGAGCCCACACACACCACCTACACAAGGGTTAACAAACTATTTTACTTCAAGCTTTCAATCTTAAACACAAATATTTTAGCCAGTGATGTGATATTCAAATAGAAATATTTTAGCCAGTGATGTGATATTCACACAAATATTTAAGCCAGTGATGTGATATTCAAACAGAAATATTTTAGCCAGTGGTGTGATATTCACACAAATATTTTAGCCAGTGATGTGATATTCAAACAGAAATATTTTAGCCAGTGATGTGACATTCAATACAAATATTTTAGCGAGTGATGTGATATTCACACAAATATTTTAGTCAGTGATGTGATATTCACACAAATATTTAAGCCAGTGATGTGATATTTGAGCCATACCTCTTCCCCATCGTCACTGACCCACAGAGGGATGGGAGTCCCCCAGTACCTGTTCCTGGATATTGCCCAGTCTCTGGCTTCCTTCAACCAGTTCCCAAACCTTTTTTCTTTGACAAATTCTGGAACCCTGGGGAAATATTGCTTTTTTTATTTCACTACAAAACCTGTCAGCTAAGATTGGATAAGTTTATACCATAGGCTAGCCATGCAAAAAACCATGAAACCTGTAAGCTGTTTGACACACACACACACACACAATGCACCAGTTACCGTTAGACATGTTTTTTACCAGTAGGTGTCTTTTGTTGATGCTAATAGATTGTCCACAGCATGCTCCACTCTAACGAACCAACTGGGCACAGCTTTGTATATCAGAGGTGTTTCAGACCTAAAGTCAGGTCATCAGATTATATAAGAGGCATTTCAGGAAAAACTGGGGTGTAACATAGTTCATTAAAAATGTAAAACAAAATAAACATCAGCAATTAAATTCATTCTATACCAGGGGTGAATGTTTTGTCACACAATAACAACATACATGATATTGTACCTAAAGGGGCCATTGAGTCAAGTTGTGACTACTGACGTGTCTACTAATGCTTTTTATGCTCAAACTGTCCTACAAACATTGAAACATCAGAAAACAAACCCTTTCTTAAGTCAAAACATACCATTAATCAAACATAGAGTGTGAAAACTGCTTAAACATTGAATGCAAGTCAAACCCTCTAACCCACCTCCAACAGAAAGGGTAGCTGTGTTTTGTTGTGCTCTGGTGGACTAGCCTCCCTCGAGATTTCAAATTTTTCACTATTTCTTTATCAGCATCCTGTGGGAATCACACATGTTCACTTAGCACTTTTAACATCATCACCTCATGAGGTATACAAAGTTTTTTCTTCCTATTCTTAATGGTAGAATTTAAAACAATGTAGTGGGTCTCTATGTTAATTACAGACTTCAGTAAACTTATACTGGTCTACCAGTGTGTCAAGCATACATTATAAACCATCAAAATCTGAGACTTCCATCCACTTAGAGATCGATGAATTTGACAATTTTACCTTGACATACAAGCCTTGAAAATCTGAGACTTCTTCAGTAAACCTGCCACTGGGATCCACAGGGCAGACCATTTTCATGTCACGTGTAATGACACCATTGGCAAGACAAACTCTCTGATCATCCTGTAGAAAACAGCATCTCAATGGTAGAGTCAACATGCAGCACAGGCAAGAATAAAAAATGTCTGTACCATAATGAGAGAGTGAACAAAGATGAGCAATCTTACCTCACCAAAGTAGGGAGCCTGATGGACTACACCTGTACCTGTGTCTGTTGTCACATACGTGTCCACAAGAACACGGAAGGCCCCAGTCTGCTGCTTGTACTGTGTGTAAGAAATGGACATCCACTTTTAGACATTTAACAATGTGTTACTAGATCTAACTTTATGTAAGAAATGGACATCCACTTTTAGACATTTAACAATGTGTTACTAGATCTAACTTTATGTAAGAAATGGACATTCACTTTTAGACATTTAACAATGTGTTACTAGATCTAACTTTATGTAAGAAATGGACATCCACTTTTAGACATTTAACAATGTGTTACTAGATCTAACTTTATGTAAGAAATGGACATCCACTTTTAGACATTTAACATGTTACTAGATCTAACTTTATGTAAGAAATGGACATTCACTTTTAGACATATTTAACAATGTGTTACTAGATCTAACTTCATGTAAGAAATGGACATTCACTTTTAGACATTTAACAATGTGTTACTAGATCTAACTTCATGTAAGAAATGGACATTCACTTTTAGACATATAACAATGTGTTACTAGATCTAACTCCATGTAAGCTGAGACAAAGATCGCTGAATGAGCAGGGGTTACCTCCTTAAAGTAATCAAACAGTGGAATGTATCTTTTCCCTTCCAGTTTTTTGCCTGGGAACCTAGAGAAAAGAAATCAATCAAACTCAACAGTTCAAACAACTGATACAGACAGAGTCAGACATTACTTCCAGAACACAAATACTTTAACTGTTTCAATAGCTGTCTCTTGAAAATACATTGGTGTTAGATATGTGTAGTAATGTAAGTGTGGATCAACAACATGTGATAAATTTAAACTTACTTGTCCAGGATAGTATAATCCTCTTCTGTTTTAAACAAAGCTTCTAGCCTTTGTTCCATAAATTAAAAAACTTACTTGTCCAGGATAGTATAATCCTCTTCTGTTTTAAACAAAGCTCCTAGCCTTTGTTCCATCATGATGTATACATGGCTGGTGGACTTGTCTAGCACAGAAATGACAAAAAAACTTTTTCAACCACTTCTACGGAGATATGGAATAGCTTTTATTTAAGTGCTAACATAACCATGACCTTAAACCACACAGCAAGAAGTATAATCTAAAGCATCTGCAACTTAAGTGCTAACATAACCATGACCTTAAAGCACACAGCAAGAAGTATAATCTAAAGCATCTGCAACTTAAGTGCTAACATAACCATGACCTTAAACCACACAGCAAGAAGTATAATCTAAAGCATCTGCAACTAAAGTGCTAACATAACCATGACCTTAAACCACACAGCAAGAAGTATAATCTAAAGCATCTGCAACTAAAGTGCTAACATAACCATGACCTTAAACCACACAGCAAGAAGTATAATCTAAAGCATCTGCAACTAAAGTGCTAACATAACCATGACCTTAAACCACACAGCAAGAAGTATAATCTAAAGCATCTGCAACTAAAGTGCTAACATAACCATGACCTTAAAGCACACAGCAAGAAGTATAATCTAAAGCATCTGCAACTTAAGTGCTAACATAACCATGACCTTAAACCACACGAAGTATAATCTAAAGCATCTGCAACTTAAGTGCTAACATAACCATGACCTTAAACCACACAAAGTATAATCTAAAGCATCTGCCTACAGATGCAGACAAGAATTTAGATCTTTAAATCTTGCTAACCTTTGACCTTAACATAGGTAAGCTCAGGGTGGACACAACATGCCATGTTGCTGGGCAATGTCCAAGGTGTTGTCGTCCAGGCAATGATTGAAACATTTGGATCTTCTTCCAGAGGAAAGGACACAATGACTGGAGTTGGACAAAATAAAGAGCCATGTTACTTAACATGTGTGAGCTGGTTGTGTGTGAGCAATAATGTGAGTGAACAAAGTCCAGCTGCTAGTTAACATGTGTGACCTGATTGTATGAGAGCAACAATGTGAGTGAATAAAGTCCAGCTGCTAGTTAACATGTGTGACCTGATTGTATGAGAGCAACAATGTGAGTGAATAAAGTCCAGCTGCTAGTTAACATGTGTGACCTGATTGTATGAGAGCAACAATGTGAGTGAACAAAGTCCAGCTGCTAGTTAACATGTGTGACCTGATTGTATGAGAGCAACAATGTGAGTGAACAAAGTCCAGCTGCTAGTTAACATGTGTGAGCTGATTGTATGAGAGCAACAATGTGAGTGAATAAAGTCCAGCTGCTAGAAGAGAGATGTGTACCTGCAGGATCCACCACCTCCTTGTAGTTCTGTCCAGACTCAAAGTTTGACAGAGGTGTGTTGCATGCTGTTGAGAAGGGCATCACCTGGAATGTGTGTGCTACTGTTAAAGTTGTGCTACAACATCATGGAATGTGTGTGCTACTGTTAAAGTTGTGCTACAACATCATGGAATGTGTGTGCTACTGTTAAAGTTGTGCTACACCATCATGTTGGAATGTGTGTGCTACTGTTAAAGTTGTGCTACAACATCATGTTGGAATGTATGTGCTACTGTTAAAGTTGTGCTACACCATCATGTTGGAATGTGTGTGCTACTGTTAAAGTTGTGCTACAACATCATGTTGGAATGTGTGTGCTACTGTTAAAGTTGTGCTACAACATCATGTTGGAATGTGTGTGCTACTGTTAAAGTTCTGCTACACCATCATGTTGGAATGTGTGTGCTACTGTTAAAGTTGTGCTACAACATCATGTTGGAATGTATGTGCTACTGTTAAAGTTGTGCTACACCATCATGTTGGAATGTGTGTGCTACTGTTAAAGTTGTGCTACAACATCATGTTGGAATGTGTGTGCTACTGTTAAAGTTGTGCTACACCATCATGGAATGTATGTGCTACTGTTAAAGTTGTGCTACAACATCATGTTGGAATGTATGTGCTACTGTTAAAGTTCTGCTACACCATCATGTTGGAATGTGTGTGCTACTGTTAAAGTTGTGCTACAACATCATGGAATGTGTGTGCTACTGTTAAAGTTGTGCTACACCATCATGTTAGAATGTATGTGCTACTGTTAAAGTTGTGCTACAACATCATGTTGGAATGTATGTGCTACTGTTAAAGTTGTGCTACACCATCATGTTGGAATGTGTGTGCTACTGTTAAAGTTGTGCTACAACATCATGTTGGAATGTGTGTGCTACTGTTAAAGTTGTGCTACACCATCATGGAATGTATGTGCTACTGTTAAAGTTGTGCTACACAATCATGGAATGTGTGTGCTACTGTTAAAGTTGTGCTACACCATCATGTTAGAATGTATGTGCTACTGTTAAAGTTGTGCTACAACATCATATTGGAATGTGTGTGCTACTGTTAAAGTTGTGCTACACAATCATGGAATGTGTGTGCTACTGTTAAAGTTGTGCTACACCATCATGTTAGAATGTATGTGCTACTGTTAAAGTTGTGCTACACCATCATGTTGGAATGTATGTGCTACTGTTAAAGTTGTGCTACACAATCATGGAATGTGTGTGCTACTGTTAAAGTTGTGCTACACCATCATGTTAGAATGTATGTGCTACTGTTAAAGTTGTGCTACACCATCATGTTGGAATGTATGTGCTACTGTTAAAGTTGTGCTACACCATCATGTTGGAATGTGTGTGCTACTGTTAAAGTTGTGCTACAACATCATGTTGGAATGTGTGTGCTACTGTTAAAGTTGTGCTACACCATCATGTTGGAATGTATGTGCTACTGTTAAAGTTGTGCTACACCATCATGTTGGAATGTATGTGCTACTGTTAAAGTTGTGCTACAACATCATGGAATGTGTGTGCTACTGTTAAAGTTGTGCTACACCATCATGTTAGAATGTATGTGCTACTGTTAAAGTTGTGCTACACCATCATGGAATGTGTGTGCTACTGTTAAAGTTGTGCTACACCATCATGTTAGAATGTATGTGCTACTGTTAAAGTTGTGCTACAACATCATGGAATGTGTGTGCTACTGTTAAAGTTGTGCTACACCATCATGTTAGAATGTATGTGCTACTGTTAAAGTTGTGCTACAACATCATGTTGGAATGTGTGTGCTACTGTTAAAGTTGTGCTACACCATCATGGAATGTGTGTGCTACTGTTAAAGTTGTGCTACAATATCATGGAATGTATGTGCTACTGTTAAAGTTGTGCTACTGTTAAAGTTGTGCTACACCATCATGTTGGAATGTATGTGCTACTGTTAAAGTTGTGCTACAACATCATGTTGGAATGTAAGTGCTACTGTTAAAGTTGTGCTACAACATCATGGAATGTATGTGCTACTGTTAAAGTTGTGCTAGGTCTAGAGGTGCCAGAAGAAAGAGTGAGCTGAAGCAGCCACTGACCTTGTATCCCTTGTAGACCAATCCCTTGTTGTAGAGCTGTTTGAATACCCACCAAATGGTCTCCATGAAACTGGGGTACATTGTTCTGTAGTCATTTTCAAAGTCAATCCAGCGTGCAAGTCTTGTCATTATAGTCTAGATGTCAAAATGGTCTCAAAATAGTTCAAAGCTGCATTTATGAAAGACTTTTCAAAATTTTATTCCACAGTTAAGTTAAATCTTTATGCAACATTTCAAAGTAGCTTTTATTCAATTGAAAAGTAGTTAATTTTCTATTAGAATCAACAACAAAATACCTTCCACTCTTGGCTGTACCGCTGTACAATTTTGCGGCATTCATTGTTATAAGCCTGTATGCCCATTTTAGCCACATCGTCAGGTCCTGTAATCCCTAGAGTCTTGTCAATCTCATACTCCTGCAGTTATTCAGCATTTTTAATCAAAGTACACACCAGAGCTTAGTCAACTCAACATACAAAAGGTAAAACATAAGATCTCACATATAACAGGTAAAACAAGATCTCACATACAACAGGTAAAACCTAAGATCTCACATACAACAGGTAAAACATAAGATCTCACATATAACAGGTAAAACAAGATCTCACATACAACAGGTAAAACCTAAGATCTCACATACAACAGGTAAAACCTAAGATCTCACATACAACAGGTAAAACATAAGATCTCACATACAACAGGTAAAACCTAAGATTGTAACACATCACAGGTAAAACCTAAGTTCTTACAACAGGTAAGCCATGACAATCCCAGCCAAACCGCCTCTCCACGTGATATCCACTTTGATAGGCCCATCTGGTAACAACATCTTTGATGGTCCCAGCGAGTATATGCCCGTAGTGAGGTAATCCCGTAGCAAAGGGTGGCCCGTCATAGAAGGCATACCTATTCCAGCAAAAATTGACACAACTAATATAAAACTGTACAAATAACTCATTTTAAAATTTTGATTAACACTTGTTAAAAATTAGAGAAGTAAATGATTAACCTAAAAGGCAAAAGCTTGTTTAATTAGTAAGAACATCATTGCAAGCATTTTTATTTTAACTCACCTAGGTCTAGCTTTTGAAAGCTTTAAAGATGTTTGGAAAGCATCAATTTCCTGCCAGAATTTTAAAGTCTTCTCCTCCTCATCAACAAAATTGATGGCATCAGTTGCTGATGCCTGCTGCGCCATGTCTGTCCTGATAAAAACATGTTTCAAGTGCTGCCATGTCAAACGTAAAGACAAATGTACACATAATCTTAAGACAATTACTTAAAACTATATATATAGTAGCCTATATACTATAAGATTACTTCTTAAGCAATAGTCCAGCAATGTAACATATAAATACAAAGTTTAAAAAAAAAAACTTAATAGCATTAGCAGGCCTACTTAGTGTTTAGTTATTTGTTAAGCCTAAAATATTTTGTTTGAAAAATAATTCAACTCAAATTGAGTAGGCCAAAAAAACAAATCTCTTTTATAGAGTAGGCCTAACTAATTTGATTAAAAAGTATGATGAAATTCAACTCAACATGATTTAGGTGAAATAACTGTGATATAGATCTACATAGTGATGCAAAAAAATGCAATCAACTCAAAATAGCAAAAAGATCTTACAGATCTATTTTAAAAAAATAGTAGGTCTTGGTAGAAACTAGAATAAACATTACTTGTGTACTTGTGTAGGCAATTAGATCTACATGTCAATTTAGATTTATAAATTATAACACTTAGCATAGGTAATAAAACAGCTTAGGTTAGGGGCCCATAGGCCTATGATATTTTATAAATATTTACCAATATTATCAACCTAATTTTGCTATACATGAGTATACATAGGACATAGATAGGCCTATAAATAATAGGATTATAGGCCAATAAGGCTCACAGATCTCGATCTATATGATAAAAATCTAGATCTGTAGATCTAGTAATCATCAGTATTCAGTAATTACTGAATCAGTCAGTGAATCAGTAATGAACCTCTAGACAAAAACAATGATCAACAAAACTCAAAAATAAAATAGATCTAGAAATAGATCTTATTAATTAATTATTAATAATTATTTTATTAGGCCTAGGCCTACCTAATTAATTAATTAGGCCTATCTATATACTTCTAGATCTAGATTACTAACTTAAAGTTAGTACAACTACTAGAAATCTAGTACTAGAAGATCTAGATCTAGAAATCTACTACTAGATCTAGATCCGCTAGGTAGACTCTAGTGCTACAACTAGATCTACACTCTACACTCACATCACACACTCACTCACTGTGACTAAGTGACACATCTTCTACTACTGAATTAGATCTCAAATCTTAAACTATTGAAATCTAGTTAAGATCTAATCTAGCTATTTCTGAAATATGTTACCGAATTTGTTTTGTTTATCTTGATCTAGAAGACTAAATCTATATGTTGGTGAATGCCAAAATACTGTGTTTGCTACTTATTGCATCATGTGTTCTGCTATTGACAATATTGTTGCAGTACAGCAGAAGTAAGCATGGAAATGTTTTCCGATCAAGGGAAACAACCACACAAACCAACCGAGAAATATTAAAATTTTACCCCAGGGCATAAGGAGACGATAAGCGAAAAGAAAATTAAGAAAATATTTTTAATATTTCCAACAAATTAAATATTCTACAAGAAGGCCAAATAGAATCTATGGAACATTTATTATGAGATCTCTAGATATAGAGATCTAGAATATTATTATTGTTTTAGTGTACAGTGTACACCTAAAGGCCTAAAATAGTAAAGGCGAAGTAAAACAAATAAATAGGCCTAAGCCAGACCTTTTCGCCGTTGCCAAATCCAAGTCTAGGCCTACCACGTTGAACAATCGTATACGTCAAATTGATTCTACGAGCTCTGTTCCGGCTAATAATAAACAAACTTCGTAGCCAAACACTCAAATAGATCTAATCTAGAGAGTCTAGAATAGATCTACAATACATTGAACATTGTTATGTTACAATCTGTTCTAAAACAATAGGCTATAGGTCCTACATTATTTATTAAATTTAATAATATTAGTTTGTTTAGGCCTAAAAACTTAGTAAACTAAACACTAACAGTGAAACACCACCAAACCATGTTCATGCGTTGAAAATGAAATAAAGTCAGAAGTTAAGTTAGTTAACTCATCATTAATCATTCATTACTCATATTATTCAGATCTATATATTAGGCCTACTACTTGAGTACTATTTACCTAAACTGTCCTAAACTAGTGATTATAAAAATATAAATATATCTAGAATCTAGGCCTAATATTACTAATAATAGTTTTTTTTTTTATTTTGTCACTAGAAGTCTATTTGATTGAGACTATTGATTGACTTTACTTTTAATTTTTAAAGGATTGTTGAATGTTAGTTTTTTAGTTAGTCCTAGATTAGAATTAGATTCTAGATTAAGTGATTAAGTAGACTGAGATTCACTCACGTTTTTAATAATTTTAGTTTGTAATTTACGTTAGATTTCAAACAAAATAGTTGAAAATAGAAATCTGAACACTGCATAGGGCTATATTATAGGCCCCCTATATAGTACTACATACAACTAAACGTTGTAACTAACATTAGTAACATAGACAAAGACAGGCCTTCTCTACTCTACACACATTTTATTACTCTACAAAATGACAAATGGTAAGTATAATTAATAATAATTCCTAGGTCTATAATATATATATATATATATATATATATATATATATATATATATATATATATATATATATATATAGCCTAATTGGGTTACCTCTCTACTATCCTATCACTATGTGGTTGTGGTAGGCCCTAGATAGTAGAATTAGATCTAGTATCTGCTAGATCTAATTCTACTCCCAGGCAAAGTTCCAATTTTTGCTAAAGTCGCGTAAGCGAAAAAGCTAGTTACTGTACTCTAGTAGTGTGCAATGTGTATAATGTATTTTATGTACATAGTGTTCTTAATAAAGTCTTATACAATAGTTTTAGAAACATAATAAGTGTGTTTGAATGTACCAAATATTTTAACACACTGAATAAAACATTTTCAGCTTATTCATTTGAGGGAATTCTCATCATGAGCTTGCTGGTGATATGTACCTGCGCCTACATGCGTCGCGTGCCTAGGTTGAAACAGTGGTTTCTATCTGAACGGAAGGGTTTGATGGGAGTCTTTTACAAGGGTAATTCAAAACTAAAACTTTACTAGGATATGGGGGGGAGGGGGTTGATGGGAGTCTTTTACAAGGGTAATTCAAAACTAAAACTTTACTAGGATATGGGGGGAGGGGGTTGATGGGAGTCTTTTACAAGGGTAATTCAAAACTAAAACTTTACTAGGATATGGGGGGAGGGGGTTGATGGGAGTCTTTTACAAGGGTAATTCAAAACTAAAACTTTACTAGGATATGGGGGGGGGGGGGGGTTGATGGGAGTCTTTTACAAGGGTAATTCAAAACTAAAACTTTACTAGGATATGGGGGGGGGGGGAGGGGGTTGATGGGAGTCTTTTACAAGGGTAATTCAAAACTAAAACTTTACTAGGATATGGGGGGGGGGGGGGGTTGATGGGAGTCTTTTACAAGGGTAATTCAAAACTAAAACTTTACTAGGATATGGGGGGGGGGGGGGGGGGTTGATGGGAGTCTTTTACAAGGGTAATTCAAAACTAAAACTTTACTAGGATATGGGGGGGGGGGTTGATGGGAGTCTTTTACAAGGGTAATTCAAAACTAAAACTTTACTAGGATATGGGGGGGGGGGGGGGGGGGTTGATGGGAGTCTTTTACAAGGGTAATTCAAAACTAAAACTTTACTAGGATATGGGGGGGGGAGGGGGTTCTGTTAAGAAAGGTAAATCTGCCTTACATAGAAAGGAATGACAAACACCTGTCTTCATAACAAAAATATTTTAAAACAATTATTTGAAAATAAAAAGGAAAAGTGAATATGTATTTGAAAAGGACTATTTTATGTATTGATGAACAGAGAAGGCAGTTTTAATTCTATAGCCTTAATACAACTTGACTAACACTTACAATACAAGCCTCTCCATAACATGAACCAGTGTCCCTACAAAATGAAAGCAAAGTTTTGTTAAAACAGATAAATGCTTTGAGTTTAAAAAAACTTGACTTACCAAAGCTCAATGATTTTACTTCACTGCACAAATTAAAGAAGCTCTAACTACTAGCAGTATTTTCTTCTATGTCATAGTAAAAAATTGCCACTTTTAACTCATCCTCCACTTCACACAGACATCTTTACTCCCCCCACCATCCCAACACAATTTTCTTAAGACTGATACAAAATGCAATACACATATCTGATAAGCGCCTTTCATATTTATGCATGAGATTTAAAATTAAAAAGCCATCTTATTTACCCTTTTTTATAAATTATCAATTTATTAAGTTACCGGAAACTTCTATAAAAGTATTTGGGACATACAGACAGACCCTGGGTTTTTCTATATTAGATAATAAATATATTTGAATGTGCAGAATTGAATGCTAGTGTTTGTTTGATTTCAGCCTCTGTGATAGGTACAAGGCTCCATGTTGCTGTGGCACTGACTTGTAGTTTGATGGCTTTCTATGTCCTTATACTCAAATAACAGCACAAAAATCATGTCCTCAAATAATATCAGCTCCTTCTCAACTGCTGGACACTATAGACCATCACCAGGGGTGAAAGCAAACTATTTGATCAGGATTGAATTTAAATTATGTGCCACAAGTTGATTTTTTTCATTGTAAAGATCACCTATGCATTGTTACATTGTGTATCAAATCTATTTAATCCTCATCTTTGAACATGGCTGCTACATTGAGATTGTTGATCTGCTGTTATTTGTTAGTCCTCATTGAACTTGTTTTGTAAATATTGTCAACTTTGGGAAAATAAAATTGGTTTGAACTTATCCAATGTTTCTCATATTCCAAACTTAAAGCTAATGTTTCTGTTGTGTTCAGCTTATGTTTGTGTTGTGTTCAGCTTATGTTTGTGTTGTGTTCAGCTTATGTTTGTGTGGTGCCAAATAAACACAAGCTAATGTTTCTGTTGTGTTCAGGTTATGTTTGTGTTGTGTTCAGGTTATGTTTGTGTTGTGTTCAGCTTATGTTTGTGTGGTGCCAAATAAACACAAGCTAATGTTTCTGTTGTGTTCAGGTTATGTTTGTGTTGTGTTCAGCTTATGTTTGTGTGGTGCCAAATAAACACAAGCTAATGTTTCTGTTGTGTTCAGGTTATGTTTGTGTTGTGTTCAGCTTATGTTTGTGTGGTGCCAAATAAACACAAGCTAATGTTTCTGTTGTGTTCAGGTTATGTTTGTGTTGTGTTCAGCTTATGTTTGTGTGGTGCCAAATAAACACAAGCTAATGTTTCTGTTGTGTTCAGGTTATGTTTGTGTTGTGTTCAGCTTATGTTTGTGTGGTGCCAAATAAACACAAGCTAATGTTTCTGTTGTGTTCAGGTTATGTTTGTGTTGTGTTCAGCTTATGTTTGTGTGGTGCCAAATAAACACAAGCTAATGTTTCTGTTGTGTTCAGCTTATGTTTGTGTGGTGCCAAATAAACACAAGCTAATGTTTGTGTTGTGTTCAGGTTATGTTTGTGTTGTGTTCAGCTTATGTTTGTGTTGTGTTCAGCTTATGTTTGTGTGGTGCCAAATAAACACAAGCTAATGTTTCTGTTGTGTTCAGCTTATGTTTGTGTGGTGCCAAATAAACACAAGCTAATGTTTGTGTTGTGTTCAGGTTATGTTTGTGTTGTGTTCAGCTTATGTTTGTGTGGTGCCAAATAAACACAAGCTAATGTTTCTGTTGTGTTCAGGTTATGTTTGTGTTGTGTTCAGCTTATGTTTGTGTGGTGCCAAATAAACACAGCTCTGTGACAGTACCAACATTGTTGACATCAATCACTTAAGTATGTTGTCAAGTTAGTCACTGAGCTATAATGTCAACTTGTCACATGTAATGTCAACTTGATTGTCACCTGTCCTGTGATGTCACCTGTCCTGTGATGTCACCTGTCCTGTGATGTCACCTGTCCTGTGATGTCACCTGTCCTGTGATGTCACCTGTCCTGTGATGTCACCTGTCCTGTGATGTCACCTGTCCTGTGATGTCACCTGTCCTGTGATGTCAACTTGTAGTATCCTTATAGCATGCACAAAATGTATTTTAGGTCCGGAGATCCGAACATTCTTTAAACATTTTACAAAGTTCTGCAAAACAAAGTGAAGACATCTTATCTGGGCATAAGTCCTTGAATCCATCTAGCTCTGAGGTGTACCTGACTTGAGGTGTACCTGAGTTAGGGAAACTAAGGCAGCTGGGCAATGATTACACTATGACGGAGCAGATACAACTTATACAGACTATGTTGAACCCCACACCACACCTGCACAGATATTGTAGATCCATTGATTTGGTAACTCTATAGCATCTTTTTTTTAATTCATTAAATTCCACTCTTGACATATAATTGTATCATATATTTAAAACTTTTCTAACGGCTCTACTATTCAAATATAGTACTTGTGTGAGTTTGTTATCTTTGTGTGAGTTTGTTATCTTTGTGTGAGTTTGTTATCTTTGTGTGAGTTTGTTATCTTTGTGTGAGTTTGTTATCTTTGTGTGAGTTTGTTATCTTTGTGTGAGTTTGTCATCTTTGTGTGAGTTTGTCATCTTTGTGTGAGTTTGTTATCTTTGTGTGAGTTTGTCATCTTTGTGTGAGTTTGTTATCTTTGTGTGTTTGTCATCTTTGTGTGTTTGTCATCTTTGTGTGAGTTTGTTATCTTTGTGTGTTTGTCATCTTTGTGTGAGTTTGTTATCTTTGTGTGTTTGTCATCTTTGTGTGAGTTTGTTATCTTTGTGTGTGTTTGTCATCTTTGTGTGAGTTTGTCATCTTTGTGTGAGTTTGTCATCTTTGTGTGAGTTTGTCATCTTTGTGTGAGTTTGTTATCTTTGTGTGTGTTTGTCATCTTTGTGTGAGTTTGTCATCTTTGTGTGAGTTTGTTATCTTTGTGTGAGTTTGTTATCTTTGTGTGTTTGTCATCTTTGTGTGAGTTTGTTATCTTTGTGTGTGTTTGTCATCTTTGTGTGTTTGTCATCTTTGTGTGAGTTTGTCATCTTTGTGTGAGTTTGTTATCTTTGTGTGTTTGTCATCTTTGTGTGAGTTTGTCATCTTTGTGTGTGTTTGTCATCTTTGTGTGAGTTTGTCATCTTTGTGTGAGTTTGTCATCTTTGTGTGAGTTTGTTATCTTTGTGTGTGTTTGTCATCTTTGTGTGAGTTTGTCATCTTTGTGTGAGTTTGTCATCTTTGTGTGAGTTTGTTATCTTTGTGTGAGTTTGTTATCTTTGTGTGTTTGTCATCTTTGTGTGAGTTTGTTATCTTTGTGTGTTTGTCATCTTTGTGTGAGTTTGTCATCTTTGTGTGAGTTTGTTATCTTTGTGTGTTTGTCATCTTTGTGTGAGTTTGTCATCTTTGTGTGTTTGTCATCTTTGTGTGAGTTTGTCATCTTTGTGTGAGTTTGTCATCTTTGTGTGAGTTTGTTATCTTTGTGTGTTTGTCATCTTTGTGTGAGTTTGTCATCTTTGTGTGAGTTTGTCATCTTTGTGTGAGTTTGTTATCTTTGTGTGTTTGTCATCTTTGTGTGAGTTTGTCATCTTTGTGTGTTTGTCATCTTTGTGTGAGTTTGTCATCTTTGTGTGAGTTTGTCATCTTTGTGTGAGTTTGTTATCTTTGTGTGTTTGTCATCTTTGTGTGAGTTTGTCATCTTTGTGTGAGTTTGTCATCTTTGTGTGAGTTTGTCATCTTTGTGTGTTTGTCATCTTTGTGTGAGTTTGTCATCTTTGTGTGAGTCTGAGCAACTGGATTGTTCAGCTGAGTCGTGACAACTTGGACTGTGCTGTTGACTCATCACTTATATCTCACATATAAAAAGGATGGTCAAATGTGCCAGCCATGTAGCTGCCTTCTGGGACCAACTTGTTAGTACAGGTAATGATCCAAAGATGGGTGCATCTATTTCTTTTATTATGATCCAAAGATGGGTGCATCTATTTCTTTTATTATGATCCAAAGATAGGTGCATCTATTTCTTTTATTCATTTAGTTTTTTGTTAGTACAGGTAATGATCCAAAGATGGGTGCATCTATTTCTTTTATTATGATCCAAAGATGGGTGCATCTATTTCTTTTATTATGATCCAAAGATAGGTGCATCTATTTCTTTTATTCATTTAGTTTTTTGTTAGTACAGGTAATGATCCAAAGATGGGTGCATCTATTTCTTTTATTATGATCCAAAGATGGGTGCATCTATTTCTTTTATTATGATCCAAAGATAGGTGCATCTATTTCTTTTATTCATTTAGTTTTTTGTTAGTACAGGTAATGATCCAAAGATGGGTGCATCTATTTCTTTTATTCATTTAGTTTTTTGTTAGTACAGGTAATGATCCAAAGATGGGTGCATCTATTTCTTTTATTCATTTAGTTTTTTGTTAGTACAGGTAATGATCCAAAGATGGGTGCATCTATTTCTTTTATTCATTTAGTTTTTTGTTAGTACAGGTAATGATCCAAAGATGGGTGCATCTATTTCTTTTATTCATTTAGTTTTTTGTTAGTACAGGTAATGATCCAAAGATGGGTGCATCTATTTCTTTTATTCATTTAGTTTTTTGTTAGTACAGGTAATGATCCAAAGATAGGTGCATCTATTTCTTTTATTCATTTAGTTTTTTGTTAGTACAGGTAATGATCCAAAGATGGGTGCATCTATTTCTTTTATTCATTTAGTTTTTTGTTAGTACAGGTAATGATCCAAAGATAGGTGCATCTATTTCTTTTATTCATTTAGTTTTTTGTTAGTACAGGTAATGATCCAAAGATGGGTGCATCTATTTCTTTTATTCATTTAGTTTTTTGTTAGTACAGGTAATGATCCAAAGATGGGTGCATCTATTTCTTTTATTCATTTAGTTTTTTGTTAGTACAGGTAATGATCCAAAGATGGGTGCATCTATTTCTTTTATTCATTTAGTTTTTTGTTAGTACAGGTAATGATCCAAAGATGGGTGCATCTATTTCTTTTATTCATTTAGTTTTTTGTTAGTACAGGTAATGATCCAAAGATAGGTGCATCTATTTCTTTTATTCATTTAGTTTTTTGTTAGTACAGGTAATGATCCAAAGATGGGTGCATCTATTTCTTTTATTCATTTAGTTTTTTGTTAGTACAGGTAATGATCCAAAGATAGGTGCATCTATTTCTTTTATTCATTTAGTTTTTTGTTAGTACAGGTAATGATCCAAAGATGGGTGCATCTATTTCTTTTATTCATTTAGTTTTTTGTTAGTACAGGTAATGATCCAAAGATAGGTGCATCTATTTCTTTTATTCATTTAGTTTTTTGTTAGTACAGGTAATGATCCAAAGATGGGTGCATCTATTTCTTTTATTATGATCCAAAGATGGGTGCATCTATTTCTTTTATTATGATCCAAAGATGGGTGCATCTATTTCTTTTATTCATTTAGTTTTTTGTTAGTACAGGTAATGATCCAAAGATGGGTGCATCTATTTCTTTTATTATGATCCAAAGATGGGTGCATCTATTTCTTTTATTATGATCCAAAGATGGGTGCATCTATTTCTTTTATTCATTTAGTTTTTTGTTAGTACAGGTAATGATCCAAAGATGGGTGCATCTATTTCTTTTATTATGATCCAAAGATAGGTGCATCTATTTCTTTTATTCATTTAGTTTTTTGTTAGTACAGGTAATGATCCAAAGATAGGTGCATCTATTTCTTTTATTATGATCCAAAGATGGGTGCATCTATTTCTTTTATTCATTTAGTTTTTTGTTAGTACAGGTAATGATCCAAAGATGGGTGCATCTATTTCTTTTATTATGATCCAAAGATGGGTGCATCTATTTCTTTTATTATGATCCAAAGATGGGTGCATCTATTTCTTTTATTATGATCCAAAGATGGGTGCATCTATTTCTTTTATTCATTTAGAATTTCATACGGACTGTTCTTGCTTGTTTTAATTCATTTTTATTTCACAAAAAAGGTGCCAGTTCTGCCATGTCACTGTCTTACAATTGCTCACAAGGGGGGGGGGGGGGGGGGGCTCCCCCTGCACCCCCTCTGAATATGCAACTGCTATAATTAACAATTATCATAATTAATACAAAAATAAGTTATATTATAACCAGCAGTACAGAAGTGTAGTTCATGGGAAAGACAAATAAAAGATTAACATGACAGAACATGTTAAAATAACATCCACATATTTCAAATCTTGCCATGAAGTAATAGCTGTTCAAAATAAAGATGCTACTATCAATGTCTGTAAGTATTTACAAACAACTTGGCATCCTCTAACACTAATACCATGTTGTACTATTGCACTAGTGACCAGGTTTTTCAAGGTTGGAAGAGTTTTCTGGATAAATGCCAATTTCAATATCCCCAATAATTTGTTATATTAGTATAAGATTATTAAATTCAATCATTATTAACTAATACCTGCTTGTTTTTTTTAATGCCCTTAAGCCAAAAAAACCAATGTTTACAACATTTTTCCTAAAACAATTTTCAGTAGCAGCAGTTTAGCTAACATTATTTACACAAGTTGTACTACCTCAACTAAGATACATACTCAATTATATATATATATATATATATGAAAATATTTTTACCAAATGAGCAAAAGTGCAGAGTTGACAGACTTCATTGTAGTTGATTGAGCAATGCCTAATGGAAAATTTTCTTTCACCAAATAATATAGTGTTAACAAGTACAAAAAGTAGCATGTTAAAAAGTTGTTTCAGTCATTTAATTATTTTATTTTTATCTGTGTGAAACAATTGTTCTGTGTGAGCAGAGGTTTTTGTTTTTGAGCAACACAAAAATTATATCATTATTTACATTTATGCATAGTTTCCAACCATTTTTAAAGTTCTATGAAGATATTATTGAGCTTATAAGATCACAATAAATATTTTTATAGCAGGTAAATAAACCGTTTGACAAAATGAAAGACATTAACAAGAACAATCATCTCTAAAATGTAAGTGATAAAAAAATGTACATCATTGTTGTAAAAAAAAGACACAACAGAGTCATACTTTTTAACGATTTGTTACAACTAGAATTAGCTGGGGGGTTTTTTCTGGATAAGTAGAATTAGTTAACTTCTTTGATATCTAAAATAAATAAAAAATTAGACCTTTGTTCTTTTGGTTTTTACCTGAAAATGTAGATGCTAATTAGTAATATCAGAGATGCATGGAAAGCTCTAGTCAGCGGCCTATGTCCCAGGAGGGACAACAGGCAAACCTAACCCTAACCTAATTAGTAATATAAATGGCTAAAGACCCAAACAAGTGAGGGATGTCATCAGTTTTGTGGAATTCAAAATAAAAACACCTCAGTTAGTCACAGCAGTAAAGAAACTGTGCTTGAAACAATGTAAACAGTGAACAAGATAGTTTGGAGATTAGAAACCACAGCTGTAAGATGACTGGGATGTGGAGGATGGTTTACAGTAAAAACAACACTGGTCTGAGGTTGACCATCATGAATATCATTTGGAACATTTGAAGAGAGTATTGCATATTATACCCTCCTAGCAATAAAATCAGTGCATGTTTGTAGTAAAATAGTGAGTTCCTTAACCCAATAGAAAATTTAAGGCCTCAAGTAAACAGTGTATCCCACCATAGTTAATGTGCCTGTAAAATATGGACAACTTACTAGAGTTATCCCACCATAGTCAATGTGCCTGTAAAATATGGACGACTTACTAGAGTTATCCCACCATAGTTAATGTGCCTGTAAAATATGGACAACTTACTAGAGTTATCCCACCATAGTCAATGTGCCTGTAAAATATGGACGACTTACTAGAGTTATCCCACCATTGTTAATGTGCCTGTAAAATATGGACGACTTACTAGAGTTATCCCACCAGAGTACCCCTGGTTGTGTCTGTAAAATATGGACGACTCACTACAGTTATAATTAGCGCTACAATAACTATACACATGACTAGTGAAATAATTGTGAAATTTTTGCTGCGCTTGGCAAATTTCTGGGCACGATCAATGTTGCCTTGTTGGATGCCATCCAGAAACTCTTTCTCAGCTCTGAAGGCAAAATACACGGCTAAAATACCCGTAGGAAGAAACAATGCAAGGGAAATAAGAGAAAAAATTTTCAGCAATAAAAGTCTCCTTTTCCTGAGTGGCCGCTCATGTTCTGACCACCTGTACGGGATGCCTTCTGTGTCAATGTAGCGAGAGCCGTCGTCTCTTGTTGCCACGGCATCCTGCATCACCACCTTCCCTTCAGCATACTGAACTTGGATGCTAGAGAGTGCTACTGTATTGTTGTTTGTTGGTGTCACCTGGGGCGCTTCTTGTTTTCCTACAGGAGAGAGTTCTTTCTTTAGAGTCTGATCCACACTATTGGGTGTTTGAACTTTGTCTTCAGTTGACCCATCCAGCTGACCAGATCTATCTGGCAAGGTCTTGGACTGACCAGATCTATCTGGCAAGGTTGTTGTCTTGGGCTCACCAGATGTTTGACCAGCTTGATTGAGTTTCTGTTTGTTTTCTGACACAGCGGACTGGCTAGAAGTAGAATCTGGGTCTAAATGAGGTACGTAATTATTTGAATTAGCAATGGACAAATGGGGTTGAAGTTCAACGTCCAGACCTCCTCCTCCCTCCCCCAGCTCATCTTCATCAAAGTCCTCTTCTAGGTGAGAAAACTGGAATCCGTTTTTAGATTTCAACATGCTTGCAGATTTTCTGGAGAAAAAAAGGATAAGCAAGATTTTTAAAAACAATTTAGTAAAAATGATAAAACTGGTAGACTATATTAAAACAAAAATTTAATCGATAGCTCAGTTTTAGTAGTAGATCAACAGGTTGAACAGTTTTTAGCAAGAGAAATAACAAATATTGAAGTAGAGCTTCCATTTTAAAACGTTATTAAAATCAGTTTATTTACCTGAATTTATTTTTAGCAAAGGAAATAATTCAAGTAGGCGATAATCAAATATTTGAAAGGCTTGATCTAGAAGAATGGTTTAAGTTAGGTAATGGAAATGGCTAGAACTATAACAGCAGAATGAAATGTGTGGCCTATCAAACAGGCAAGTTATATTTGAATGAAGTCAACATACTGTCCAACTATGAGCACTAGTTAGTAGTTCAGTGGCCTAGTGATCAGTTTTTGAAAAACGTTTGCCTTCCTAACTAGACCTTCACCTTGCCAGTGGAAGCATCCTGTATTGTTGTCTCCTCTGTTGTCTACTTCCCCCCCCCCCCCCCCCCCTCTTTCCCTAGTTTTGTCTCTGTCATTAAGATAACGCATGGGCCTATGCTTTGACCTACATTAGGCTGTAGACCAAGATTCCATGGACGACTGTAATACTACATCTAAGTAAGATCTAAATCTAGATCACAATGGAGGAAACTAATTACTGTAACAATTGGTTTTAGAATTCACCATTAGATCTTTTTTTTTTTATCTTTAGCACATGGCCTTAAAAGAAATGATAACAGCTAGATCTAGATCTAGCTCAAGTCAAATAGATTTCATTAAATTATTAGTTTTAGATCTAGATGAGTAGATTTACACTATATATATAACATAACTAAATTAGACTTATTATTAATTTTAAATGACTAAAAAGGTTTATTTTTATTTCTACTAGGCCCTACTAATCTTATTAATAATTTAAAGTGCCCTACTAAGTAAGTGGGCGCATAGGCGACTACTCATACTGGGTCTATGTTTATTGCTGTGTAGATACTCTACGTGCATCTCTACTCTCTAGATCTAGATCTATTCATTAGAATAAAATAATTTATAGGCTATTGTAGATGTCATTTTAAACATTTTAGTCATAAATCTAGATCTAGATCTAGATGTTCTTCAAACATTCGATCTAGAATCTAGATTAGATCTAAACATTCAAGTCAGCTGGAGTTAAAAAGTCCTTACTTTCAAACGAGCCATTAACTGGAACTGTAGCAGATCTCTGAAGGCCTACTGTCTTCCAGTCTTGTAATTTTGTATGTGTCTCGCGTTGTAAAGTTGTGATGCGTAGCTGGTGTGTTTAGCCCACTGTGAACACACTGCCCCTCCCCTCCACGCTTGACACAATATGGGGCATTTGTTGCTCGGCTACAGCCGTTGTTAGTCACCATACATACCTGCGGAATGTGACATACCTGGCCAGCCTTTGCTAACGCTCAGCAGAAGTAGCAAAAGTAGCGGGAATTAATATCCTGCCGAAATAGGATAAATCGATTGGATTTAAATATCCAGTCAATATCGAAATAATTAGATCGATCGACCTTAAAAAAGCGAAATATAATCAATCAGCCTATAGTTATAGTTAGGGTTGCCAGGTGTCCAGTTTTGAACTGGACAGTCCAGTATTTGAGCAGACTGTCCAGGATAAAATAAATATAAATACTGGACAAGTATATGAATAATACTGTTACCCCCCTTCTTCTGCTTTGCGGCATACCTGAGAAGAGAAAGATGGAAAGGTGTCCAGTATTTTCGGAAAAGGTATCTGGCAACCCTAGTTATAGTTATAGGGTATTTGTAATTACTTATGTGTATGTTTACTTAGGCCCAATTTTATACGGCGCATGAGTTATTATTTTCAGCAAGAAGACGTTTTTTTAATTAAGTATGGTCTGGTGTAGCAGAATGTATGGGGTGAAAAAAAAAAAAGATGCAAGGGAACTAGCTCTACTTATCCTACGCACAAATATATTCAGAGTTGTGTCCCTTGAGCAGATCACGAAATGTGTCTAGACCAGGGGTCTCCAAACTTTTCAGTCCGAGGGCCGCATTAACTATCAAATTTCAGTTCTGGGGCCAGTTTCTTCCAGGCATGTCTTTGATTTTTCTGGGCAAAGTTTCTCAGCCATCACCAACAAACGATTTTTCCTTGAACAAAAAGATCTCTTCGGGTCGGATGAAAGGACTTTGCGGGCCACATCCGGCCCGCAGTTTGGAGACCCCTGAGTCTAGTCTATTAGATCAGATCTAGATCGAGTACAGACTCTGAGTTTTAAATGTATAGTTTATTGCTGTGATCAAAATCTAAACACAGCAGGTTTCTATCATTTCACAAGATAAAAGCAATAAACCTATCTAGTACTATTTAGTAGGCCTACACCCCACCCATTTGGTTGAATCAAAGATCTTTGACTATTTTACAAAATAAAATGGATAACAGTTTAACAGAAAGAGTCAAGATATACCATGAAAATGACAATTTAATTAATGTCTGATTTTCTTTACATGACTTGTATTTAAAAAATAGCCGATACAGCATCTGAAGGTGGAACTTACACAGATAATGTTGGTTGCTAGCTCTACCCTCCTCCCCACCCTCATACATGCTAGCTCTACCCCCCCCCCCCCACTCCCCGTACATGCGTTGCTTTACACAAAGCTCAGGGCACTCACAGGTATAAGAGCCATGACCAGCTCAGCTGTGGGCACCTACAGGGGCAGCAAATGTGGGCACCTACAGGGGCAGCAAATGTGGGCACCTACAGGGGCAGCAAATGTGGGCACCTACAGGGGCAGCAAATGTGGGCACCTACAGGGGCAGCAAATGTGGGCACATACAGGGGCAGCAAATGTGGGCACCTACAGAGGCAGCAAATGTGGGCACCTACAGGGGCAGCAAATGTGGGCACATACAGGGGCAGCAAATGTGGGCATCTAAGGGGGCAGCAAATGTGGGCACCTACAGGGGCAGCAAATGTGGGCACCTACAGGGGCAGCAAATGTGGGCACCTACAGGGGCAACAAATGTGGGCACCTACAGGGGCAGCAAATGTGGGCATCTACAGGGGCAGCAAATGTGGGCACCTACAGGGGTAGCAAATGTGGGCACCTACAGGGGCAGCAAATGTGGGCACCTACAGGGGTAGCAAATGTGGGCACCTACAGGGGGAGCATCATCTCATATCTGGACCAAACATTGATTGCGTAAGACTTCAATACCAGATCAATTTGTCATTGGATTTGACAACAAAACAAATTAAACAGTACTAAACATATTCTAATAACACATTTATATGTCCAATACTTATGTACAATACATCAAATTTTGTTTCAAAATGGCTGCCCTGATAAAAATAACAGAGCAATTTTGAAACATACATATGTACAGTACATCAAATTTTGAAACATACATAGGTACAGTACATCAAATTTTGGAACATACATTTGTACAGTAAAATGATAATTTGACATTTATGAACATCAGGTACAAATCAAACAAAATAAGCATGGTACAGTATATCAAAATAAACTAAAGCATGGTACAGTAATATATGTTAAAATAAACTAAAGCATGGTACAGTATATACATTAAAATAAACTAAAGCATGGTACAGTAGGGTACAGTTGATGGTTGGATGAGAGATCATCCTATACATTTTCAACATTTTCAAATACATTTCTAACCCAATTCCTTTGAAACTTCAAAATGCCTTAATCCTTGAGAAAAATATCTAAAAGAAACAAGATAAGCTTGTGGAATTCAAATATCACACACTGTAGCCTTGAGTAATTCAAATCTTATAATGACAACATTTTTATTCAACTTTACAATAACTTAAAAATATCATGAAAAATGAATTACATTTGTAAACAAGGAATAGCCTTGAAGTAAAAATATTTAACTTTCCTGTTTTTTTTAGATATATCAATATAACATTTGTAAGCGGTAAGCAAGGAAAATAATAAACAGGACAGAATGTAAACACTCTAAAAATGTCAACACTAAAAATGTGTTTTTAGAAAAGATGCAACAAAGGCAAGACAGAAGAACTAAGTTTACCCAAACTTTCTGGTAAAACTAATCTGTTGAAGACTAGGCACCTTAGCAGTATGTACAGAGATAACAAAGGTAGATAGGAATTCATTTGATTGAGGGTTCGGGACTTTATTGTAGGGTTCAGCAGCTTATTTATGGGTTGAGCAGTTTATTGTAGGGTTCAGCTGTTTAGGGTTCAGCAGTTTATTGTAGGGTTCAGCAGTTTATTGTAGGGTTCAGCAGTTTATTGTAGGGTTCAGCAGTTTAGGGTTTAGCAGTTTATGGTTCAGCAGTTTAGGGTTTACCTGTTTATTGTAGGGTTCAGCAGTTTATTGTAGGGTTCAGCAGTTTAGGGTTTAGCAGTTTATTGTAGGGTTCAGCAGTTTAGGGTTTAGCAGTTTAGGGTTCAGCAGTTTATTGTTGGGTTCAGCAGTTTAAGGTTTAGCAGTTTATTGTAGGGTTTATCAGTTTATTGTAGGGTTCAGCAAATTATTGTAGGATTCAGCAATTAAGGGTTCAGCAGTTTAGGGTTCAGCAATTTAGGGTTTAGCAGTTTATTGTAGGGTTCAGCAGTTTAGGGTTCAGCAGTTTAGGGTTCAGCAGTTTAGGGTTCAGCAGTTTAGGGTTCAGCAGTTTAGGGTTCAGCAGTTTAGGGTTTATCAGTTTATTGTAGAGTTTAGCAGTTTATTGTAGGGTTCAGCAGTTTAGGGTTCAGCAGTTTAGGGTTCAGCAGTTTAGGGTTTAGCAATTGATTGCAAATATTTATCTTTTCAGTAGGGAACTAATTGTGTAAACTTATCTTAATGATCTCAAACCTAAATGAAGGTGTTTGATCATTTATAAACTTATCTTAATGATCTCAAACCTAAATGAAGGTGTTTGATCATTTATAAACTTATCTTAATGATCTCAAACCTAAATGAAGGTGTTTGATCATTTATAAACTTATCTTAATGATCTCAAACCTAAATGAAGGTGTTTGATCATTTGTAAACTTATCTTAATGATCTCAAACCTAAATGAAGGTGTTTGATCATTTGTAAACTTATCTTAATGATCTCAAACCTAAATGAAAGTGTTTGATCATTTATAAACTTATCTTAATGATCTCAAACCTAAATGAAGGTGTTTGATCTTTTATACAAGCATGTACTTAGTGGAGTCCAATTTTTTTATCAACTAATTAGAACAGTATTTGTACAATAAAAAAAAATATTCGCAACAATTTGAAATTTGTTAAAATTTAAAAACTAAATATTCTGCTGATAGACAAAAATAACTGGCAGTATAAAATACATTTGAATTAAAAGTATAAAATCATTGTGGCTGGCAGTCCAAATTGCAATGTACAGTGAAACAAAATGTATATTGACACAAAAACATTTCAAATAAAAGATCGGATTCTTTCTATAGCAACAGTCTACACAGTAGGCCTCATCAAATTCTATCTTACTTAGCAAAGCAGAAAATCTTGAGCATTTGGTTTACAAACCAAACTCAGAGAACTGACAAAGTTATTGCTATGATACAGTTGACAAAGTAAAATGGTTTATCACAATGCCATGATAATGCTGCACTAACAAAGATCTATAGGCCCTACACTAGGCTTAAACTTAGAGCCTGTTTGAGTTCAGCCAATCAACACACTTGTAATGTATGTAAGTTTAGAGCCAGTTTGAGTTCAGCCAATCAAACAACAAAACACACTTGTATGTAAGTTTAGAGCCAGTTTGAGTTCAGCCAATCAAATAACAAAACACACTTGTAATGTAAGTTTAGAGCCAGTTTGAGTTCAGCCAATCAAATAACAAAACACACTTGTATGTAAGTTTAGAGCCAGTTTGAGTTCAGCCAATCAAACAACAAAACACACTTGTATGTAAGTTTAGAGCCAGTTTGAGTTCAGCCAATCAAACAACAAAACACACTTGTATTGTATGTTAATAAGACAGAGCACACCACAGCTCAGCTGCTACAAGAAATGTCTTGTAAACAATTTACATTATCAGTATTGTTACAAACTTTTGGTCTCAAAAATTATCTGGCCAATAAAAAAATATATGTTGACCAGATTTTTAGCTCAGGAAGGCAAATCTGAATACAGAAATAAAAGAGTCAAATCTATAGAGTTACAGTTTGGGAACATAAAAATGTCTCATCAAATACAAAACTCTTAAATTACACTTTTATAAAAATAGAAAAATTGAACCAATGTGCAGAAATAAATAGTGTAAACTGTCATGTACGAGCATGGAAAAATTTGTCAAAAATAATAACAGGGTTTGTGCCAAAATAAAGTTAACAACAGGAAGTTGTCATAGGTCATGTGACTCAGCAGTTTAAGGTCATGTGACTAGGCTCTTTAAATATAAGAGTGAGAAACAGTAGCATTAAAATAAAAATTCTTTAGCTAATATAAATTAAAATCTTTCATGCATTGAATTAATACTGAGCAAAAGATAAGGGACATTTTTTTTAAAAAGCAGCAATAACCATTTGATTAAAATATAACTATCTTAAACACTTATGGAAGTATTTCAAAATTTAAATATTTTGAAAACAAAATAAAATGAATGTGAATTTATGAAGGTACAATAATTGGATATCACATCTGACTACAAAAAGGTTGAAATACAAAGGTATACACTAAAGATATTTTAAACAGCAGTGGCCAGTTTAAAATTCTGGTGGTAATTAAACAAGTGGTCATGAAACAAGTGGTCATTTTACAGGTGGTCAATAAACAGGTGGTCACCAACAGGTGGTCACCAAACAGGTGGTCACCAACAGGTGGTCACCAACAGGTGGTCACCAACAGGTGGTCACCAACAGGTGGTCACCAACAGGTGGTCACCAACAGGTGGTCACCAACAGGTGGTCACCAACAGGTGGTCACCAACAGGTGGTCACCAACAGGTGGTCACCAACAGGTGGTCAATAAACAGGTGGTCACCAACAGGTGGTCACCAACAGGTGGTCACCAACAGGTGGTCACCAACAGGTGGTCACCAACAAGTGGTCAACAACAGGTGGTCACCAACAGATGGTCACCAAACAGGTGGTGATGCCAGAAACTCAAGCTTTGCTGCTCCCCCCGCTCTCAATGAGAGACAGAATTGATGAGTTGGAGCCACTGCCTTCACTGTGGCCTTTCTTCCTCCCTTTGTATTTAGTTTTTTTATCTCTGCGTTTGACTTTCCTTCTTGTGGCCACCACTGGCGGGGACTCCTCAGTCCAGCACGTAGCAGCGTAAACATTTTTCACGTCCTCCTTGCTGGGTGGCGGGTCACAGCCTGGCGTCATTTCTTCAACCTCTCCCAGGTCCAACGGGTCACCTGACCTGGAAGAATGTTGATTGCCTTTTGGGGGCAGGTCTGTGTTGATGGTAGCCTCCGTCTGATGCTCATCTGAAGACTTCAGACTGGAGGATGGCACAGGTTCACTTCCTGATGCAACAAGACTAGAAAAAAAAAGTTCCGCTTGTGGGTTAGGGTGTGCTGACAGCTCAGTGTTGGTCTCCCCTTGAGGTGGGGGAAACAAGGGGGCCACTCTGTTGTAGACAAGTTGCTTTCTGTGTTTCAGTGGGTTCTGGTTGGGAGGGTGGTTAGACTGACCATCAGAGCCATTGGTCAGGTGGTAGGGTGTGTGGAAATGGGTTGGGGATCGCAGAGCGTTGGAGCGAGGGCTGATGCTGTCCATATCAGTGACAAACTGGTGACCTTTAGTCAGGTCAATGTCCTTCTCCCACGCCAGCTGAGCCACGGTGCTAGAGAGTAGGTTCTCGTCCTCCAGCTGACCTTTGGTCAGGGAATGGGACAGAGCAAAAGGTTGGGCTTCATTGTTTTTATTTTGCCAGATTTTTCTTTGTCGTATTATTTCTTTGCCAAACAACTGAAAAACAATGAACATGTCAGGACCAAAATATTTTAAAACAATTTTTTTAAACTGATAGTTTTTATTTTAAATCAACCTTTTAAAACTGATAGTTTTTATTTTGAAACAACTTTTTAAAATTAATTTTTTTAAATGATTGCCAAAAAAAAAATTGAGTAAAAAGTCGGCTACCTTCCAACGATGAACAGCCCCTTTGCGAGTCTTGGCCTTGGATTTTTCACAATTTTTTATAACAACTAATGCACGCTCTTCAGCTATTGGTGGACAGCCTTCATCCGGTGATGGCTTCCCAGACAGTTTGACAGAATATGACTTTTGGTATTCCAACAGTTTCTTTTTTGATATCCCTCTCTCTAAAACTATCACAATTTTTGCCCACTAAAAGCAAAAGAAATTTGCACACAAATTTTGTTATAATGTACATTGAAATATACTAAAATATGTATAGACCACATGACCTATTGATTAAAAATAGACATACTGTTTATTATATGTTACCTAATGTCATTTACATACACATTTTTTAAAAAAAAGGTAGAAATGACATAAGTAACACAAAATAAACAGTAAGTAGGTCTATTTTTAATCAATAAGTTAAGTGGTCTATTGTCTATACATATTTTAGTATATTTTAATGTACATTAAAACAGGGTTTAAGGTATCTGACAGGGTTTAAGGTATCTGACAGGGTTTAAGGTATCTGACAGGGTTTAAGGTATCTGACAGGGTTTAAGGTATCTGATAGGGTTTAAGGTATCTGACAGGGTTTAAGGTATCTGACAGGGTTTAAGGTATCTGACAGGGTTTAAGGTATCTGATAGGGTTTAAGGTATCTGACAGGGTTTAAGGTATCTGACAGGGTTTAAAGTATCTGACAGGGTTTAAAGTATCTGACAGGGTTGACTGTATCTGACAGGGTTTAAGTTATTTGACAGGGTTTAAGGTACCTGACAGGGTTTAAGGTATCTGACAGGGTTTAAAGTATCTGACAGGGTTGACTGTATCTGACAGGGTTGACTGTATCTGACAGGGTTGACTGTATCTGACAGGGTTGACTGTATCTGACAGGGTTTAAAGTATCTGACAGGGTTGACTGTATCTGACAGGGTTTAAAGTATCTGACAGGGTTGACTGTATCTGACAGGGTTTAAGGTATCTGACAGGGTTTAAAGTATCTGACAGGGTTTAAGGTATCTGACAGGGTTGACTGTATCTGACAGGGTTGACTGTATCTGACAGGGTTTAAGGTATCTGACCTGCTTCCACCACTCTTTAGTGGACTTGGAGATGACCTGGGTGTAGGTGTTCCCCATCATGGCTATCAGCATGTTCAGTAGCAGGATGGGCACCAGGATCATGAACAGGGCAAAAATTATCTTGGACAATACGGGGTAATGAGCCTCTTCAAAAACTTCATACTGAAAGAAAAAAAGATTTTAGACCATATGGTGTATGAGCCCCCTCAAACTGAAACAACATAAAAGTGATCAACCCCACTGAGAATAACTTGACCACAAGAAAGTCTTTTTTTTTTTTATGGACTACAATTTTATAAAATATTGTAAAACAAATTCTTGATATAGTAGAGTTCAAAAGATAAAAAGAAATAGGTGTAGACAATAGTATTAAACAGATTCATCAGTCCCCTTCTGCTTGCTCTCCTTTTAATAAACACTAAGTGAAATAAAAATACATAAATAAATAAATAAATAGGCCCTATATATTTATATGTATGTATATATATATATACTAGCTGCATCCCGTGCTCCGCCACGGTAAATCTTTTTTAAATGTACCAACAGAACAAGACTAAACACAACACAAACGAACGCAAAAAAAAAAAAAAAAAAAAAAAAAACCGAAAAAACAAACAGAACACTCATAACATAAACACAATTTAAATGCAATCATAAAGGCATATTGCTCACAGTCTAGCCCGTAGCGCCAAATCGCGCCCTTTCCGGTGATTTGCACTCCCCTCAAACTTTCGATTTGCACCCCTTCCCCCCCCCCCCCCCCGCCGTAAAACTTTCGATTTCCACCACTCTCCCCCCCCCCCCCTCGAAATTTTTTCCAACCCACTTTGGCGCCCCCTAAGGTCGGCACCCGGGGACATATGCCCCCCACCCATCGCAACGCCTCTCCTATAAAACCCGAAAGATAGAATAATAATTAGAAAACAGTATAAATAATAGGCAGTATCTATAATATATACAATATTTCACTTTATCCATTCACGCATTTTTTTCCCAGTACTTTAAATTTTAAAAATTTACAATTGAGTTTCATAACTAAAACCATTGCGCACCTAATGAACGTGATGACGTCTATAATAGTGCTGAATAGTTGATTAAAAATTATAAGTAATAAACAGTAGGGCCTACACTCAGTGAATAAAATAAATAAAAGATTGCCTTTTCTCAATCCATGCTAATTATAATTTTCTAACAATTACACAATCACATTTTGCTAATTATATTATTGCAACACTAATTCCTTCTATGACGAACGTATATTTGCATTCACATTTTTTATTAGCGTGAGTTTAATGTATTTTTAAATTACCTCCTTTGTCAAAATTAGAAAAGAGTTAAATTAATTCGATTTTTCTACCCTACTGTTATTATGTTATTAAAATGTATCCACTTTTTCTGATAGGCTAAACGAAAATGATATTTGACATTAATCTTTTTAATACGTTTTAGCAGTTTGCGTGTATTTAATATTTTCTTGACGTTATGCGAAAGAGTAAAAACCGTGACATTTATAAAATAGCTCTATGCCGCTATATAAACAAACCCTACTCAACTACTTATAATAAGACACTGCGGTGCACTGAAAAGCACAACATGGTGCGAATGTTTACTTTTATAGTCCCAAAATCTATAGCGATGACGGACGGACGGAAGGAAGGAAGGAAGGACAGACACAGCCCGATTATATTATAGATATATATATATATATATATATATATATATATATATATAAATAGATAGATATATATATATATATATATAGCACATGTTGCTTTTCTGGACTAACTGGTCACACACTGCCTCAAAAACCTGCATACGCTCCTGCCCTGACCCAATTTAAATGAAAGAAAACTTTTTGAAAATAAATAATGACAAGTGAGAAAACATTTTTAGAACTCACTTTAAATTCTCCAAATGTCATTTGAAACAAATACAAAACTGTTTCGGTCAAATTAGAAAATTTTTTGACATCTTCGTTGTCTGAACTTTCCACATCTCTGAACAAGAAGAAGAAATCTAGAAAAGAAAACAAGATGATTGCACATTAGTTCATGTCCTACAATAAAAAAAACTTGGTCAATTTGCAAGTACTATTTTACATTTGTGGAGTTTAAAAACATATCATCACTGTGATAGTTTGTGATAACATAACTTTGTGATGTAACTTTGTGATGGAGTAACTTTGTGAGGGAGTAACTATGTGAGGGATAAATTTTGGGAGGGAGTAACTTTGTGAGGGAGTAACTTTGTGAGGGAGTAACTAAGTGAGGGAGTAACTATGTGAGGGAGTAACTTTGTGAGGGAGTAACTTTGTGATGGGGTAACTTTGTGATGGTGTAACTTTGTGATGGTGTAACTTTGTGATGGAGTAACTTTGTGATGGAGTAACTTTGTGATGGGGTAACTTTGTGATGGTGTAACTTTGTGATGTAACTTTGTGATGGAGTAACTTTGTGATGGGGTAACTTTGTGATGGTGTAACTTTGTGATGGTGTAACTTTGTGATGGAGTAACTTTGTGATGGAGTAACTTTGTGATGGGGTAACTTTGTGATGGTGTAACTTTGTGATGGTGTAACTTTGTGATGGAGTAACTTTGTGATGGAGTAACTTTGTGATGGGGTAACTTTGTGATGTAACTTTGTGATGTAACTTTGTGATGGAGTAACTTTGTGATGGAGTAACTTTGTGATGGAGTAACTTTGTGATGGGGTAACTTTGTGATGGTGTAACTTTGTGATGGAGTAACTTTGTGATGGAGTAACTTTGTGATGGGGTAACTTTGTGATGGGGTAACTTTGTGATGTAACTTTGTGATGTAACTTTGTGATGGAGTAACTTTGTGATGGGGAAACTTTGTGATGGAGTAACTTTGTGATGGGGTAACTTTGTGATGGGGAAACTTTATGATGGGGAAACTTCAGCTTACCTTGGGTGAAGCCAAAAAGGAAGATGACATATATAATGCCGAACCTGAAGAGGTCCCCCGCACACATTTTGTAAATCATTGTGACAAAAGGTCCCGTCAGAATGTGGCCTCTGAAATAATCATGTGAAAATCATTGTGACAAAAGGTCCTGTCAGAATGTGGCCTCTGAAATAATCATGTGCAAATCATTGTGACAAAAGGTCCCGTCAGAATGTGGCCTCTGAAATAATCATTGTGATAAAAGGTCCTGTCATGAGATTTATGTTTTTGGTTTCAGGTCTATTGATGTAGGCCTATTAATTTCTTTATGAAGTAGACTTTTTGTTTAGGAGTGAATTTAGACAAACTAAAGTCATCAATAACCACTTAAAACTTTTAATGATAAATATATAAAAATGTTAATAACAAGCTTTTTATAAATTATACTTGCACTGAAAAATAAAATAAAATTTTCTTTAAATATAATAGCGCATTATTTATCTATATGGGGGTCATCCATAAATGACGTCACACTTGTAGGGGGGAGGGGGGTCCGTAATTTTGTGACGATGTGTGATGAGAGGGAGGGGGGGGGGTTCAGATGTTGCGACGTCACACTTTTGCATTATAAAAAAGCTATGTTAGAAAACGAATTTTAGACGTTACTTCGCATTTTAGATAACCGTTTTAATAAATTGTAATAGTTTAGACAAGATTTTGGAAAAATATCGATGTTTTAAAAAAATTCAACTGCAATTTTGAGGGGGGTTGTAGGTTGAGGTTTGACGTCGTTTTAGGGAGGGGGGGTCTGGCTTTTTGTGACAGCGTGTGACAGAGGGGAGGTGGGGAGGTAAAAATCGTCAAAAAAAGCGTGACGTCATTTATGGATGACCCCATACTTCTAAAACAGCTATGTTGGCAAATTAGTATATTTGTTTGTTGGTATTGCTTGATCAAAGCATCTGCACATTGTGTAGACTTTAAAATATCTATTTATGTAGACAAAAATTTTCTTTTTCAAAATAAGTTATAAAACAAATTTAATTAAAAATTAATTAAAATTAATGATTTATTCTTAAGTAAAAACACACTTTTAATTATACAAGTTAAGAACAAATACTTTATTTTGGCAAGACGGCTTCTACTGAAGAATAGACTTGCAGATCAGAAAGTTTATTATAAAGCTAAATTTTCTGTCTGCTATTGTTTTAAGGGCTTATGTGCAAGAAAAATCACAGAAATTCAGATTTTTCATCAGAATGGTTGTCTAATGGTTGTCTAATGGTTGTCTAATGGTTGTCTAATGGTTGTCTAATGGTTGTCTAATGGTTGTCTAATGGTTGTCTAATGGTTGTCTAATGGTTGTCTAATGGTTGTCTAATGGTTGTCTAATGGTTGTCTAATGGTTGTCTAATGGTTGTCTAATGGTTGTCTAATGGTTGTCTAATGGTTGTCTAATGGTTGTCTAATGGTTGTCTTGGGTTGTCTTGGGTTGTCTAGTACTTTTGGATTCTCTGTCCAATTCTTCATTCAGAAAATAAGAACTTACATGAGAAAAAAGTTGTTAAGTTTATAAAAAACTTGTTATAACCATATATATATATATATGAAAAAAATAATCATATTTTTCCAATAATACATGTTTGCTACAAACATGTATTATTGATCTAATTATTGATCTAATTAGTTAAAAACAAAACACAATGAATAATAGAGTGTTTTACTATTTCAAGCCTAAATTATTTCATATAAATCTTTGTTTATTAGCAATGTTAACTGAGGGTATAAGTTAACTAAAAATTATATTTGGCTTCTTTTTATTTTATGATGAACAGTGACCTTCTTTCTAAATTTAAAACAGAGAGTATGTAAAATAATAGGAAACATTGGAACTAAAAGGTATGTGACTTGCTGGCCAAAGACTACCTAAGCCACCATGTCTGATGGTGTGAGGACAAAACACATCCAGTCAGAGTTCATTTTTGAGTTTTAATTTTCGTACTTAGAAAGTGCATAGAAGGAAATCACAACGCACTTGATTCTAATTCAAATTTATTATTTTGTTGTTGGCTTTAATAATTTATTCATTTGTTTTTCATAAGAAATTGATGTTTTTCTTTTAGAAGTTACATTTACAATAATTCTATAGGAAGGTTCTAAAAATATCTTGACCCCATTAACAAATGTAGTTTTGTGAATAAAAGAGTACCTGGCAAAGAAGAGCAGGAAGAACCAGGTACAAGGGGCAGCCAGTATCAGGAGCATGTCCTCCACGTCATGCATCTCTAAAACACGGAAGGGTATGCAGGCCAAGATGAGCAGACAGGAGATCAGGTACACAGTCTGTGCTGGGGCATGGGTCTAAAACAAACAAGTCATTGACAACTGGGCACCAGACAAAATGGCACAATCAAGTCATTGACAACTGGGCAACAAACAAAATGGCACAATCAAGTCATTGACAACTGGGCAACAAACAAAATGGCAGAAACAATCAAGTCATTGACAACTGGGCACCAAACAAAATGGCACAATCAAGTCATTGACAACTGGGCACCAAACAAAATGGCAGAAACAAGTCATTGACAACTGGGAACTAAACAAAATGGCAGAAACAAGTCATTGACAGTACAACTGGGCACCAAACAAAATGGCAGAAACAAGTCATTGACAACTGGGAACTAAACAAAATGGCAGAAACAATCAAGTCATTGACAACTGGGCACCAAACAAAATGGCACAATCAAGTCATTGACAACTGGGCACCAAACAAAATGGCAGAAACAAGTCATTGACAGTACAACTGGGCACCAAACAAAATGGCACAATCAAGTCATTGACAACTGGGCACCAAACAAAATGGCAGAAACAATCAAGTCATTGACAGTACAACTGTGAACTAAACAAAATGGCAGAAACAAGTCATTGACAGTACAACTGGGAACTAAACAAAATGGCAGAAACAAGTCATTGACAGTACAACTGGGAACTAAACAAAATGGCAGAAACAAGTCATTGACAGTACAACTGGGAACTAAACAAAATGGCAGAAACAATCAAGTCATTGACAGTACAACTGGGAACTAAACAAAATGGCAGAAACAAGTCATTGACAGTACAACTGGGAACTAAACAAAATGTCAGAAACAATCAAGTCATTGACAGTACAACTGGGAACTAAACAAAATGGCAGAAACAATCAAGTCATTGACAACTGGGCACCAAACAAAATGGCAGAATCAAGTCATGGACAGTACAACTGGGAACTAAACAAAATGGCAGAAACAATCAAGTCATTGACAACTGGGCACCAAACAAAATGGCAGAAACAATCAAGTCATTGACAACTGGGCACCAAACAAAATGGCAGAATCAAGTCATTGACAGTACAACTGGGAACTAAACAAAATGGCAGAAACAATCAAGTCATTGACAGTACAACTGGGAACTAAACAAAATGGCAGAAACAAGTCATTGACAGTACAACTGGGAACTAAACAAAATGGCAGAAACAATCAAGTCATTGACAACTGGGCACCAAACAAAATGGCAGAAACAATCAAGTCATTGACAGTACAACTGGGAACTAAACAAAATGGCAGAAACAATCAAGTCATTGACAGTACAACTGGGAACTAAACAAAATGGCAGAAACAATCAAGTCATTGACAGTACAACTGGGAACTAAACAAAATGGAAGAAACAATCAAGTCATTGACAACTGGGCACCAAACAAAATGGCAGAATCAAGTCATGGACAGTACAACTGGGAACTAAACAAAATGGCAGAAACAATCAAGTCATTGACAACTGGGCACCAAACAAAATGGCAGAAACAATCAAGTCATTGACAGTACAACTGGGAACTAAACAAAATGGCAGAAACAAGTCATTGACAGTACAACTGGGAACTAAACAAAATGGCAGAAACAATCAAGTCATTGACAGTACAACTGGGAACTAAACAAAATGGCAGAAACAAGTCATTGACAGTACAACTGGGAACTAAACAAAATGGCAGAAACAATCAAGTCATTGACAGTACAACTGGGAACTAAACAAAATGGCAGAAACAAGTCATTGACAGTACAACTGGGAACTAAACAAAATGGCAGAAACAATCAAGTCATTGACAGTACAACTGGGAACTAAACAAAATGGCAGAAACAAGTCATTGACAGTACAACTGGGAACTAAACAAAATGTCAGAAACAATCAAGTCATTGACAGTACAACTGGGAACTAAACAAAATGGCAGAATCAAGTCATTGACAGTACAACTGGGCACCAAACAAAATGGCAGAATCAAGTCATTGACAGTACAACTGGGAACTAAACAAAATGGCAGAAACAATCAAGTCATTGACAACTGGGCACCAAACAAAATGGCAGAAACAATCAAGTCATTGACAACTGGGAACTAAACAAAATGGCAGAAACAATCAAGTCATTGACAGTACAACTGGGAACTAAACAAAATGGCAGAAACAAGTCATTGACAGTACAACTGGGAACTAAACAAAATGGCAGAAACAATCAAGTCATTGACAGTACAACTGGGAACTAAACAAAATGGAAGAAACAATCAAGTCATTGACAGTACAACTGGGAACTAAACAAAATGGCAGAAACAAGTCATTGACAGTACAACTGTGAACTAAACAAAATGGCAGAAACAAGTCATTGACAGTACAACTGGGAACTAAACAAAATGGCAGCCTTTTGCAATACACTTTTCTTTTAACTATACATACATACATATTTTTTAAGAATTTCTTTTTTAGGAATGAAAATTAGAAACAATACATTTTGAAACAACTGAATCTAAATAAAAAAGTTTCAGGCTATGAAAATGATGGTTTTCCCTCAAATATTAGTGACATAGGAAGCTGGTTTATAAGCCAGCTGCTGTTAGTAGCGAGTGGGTTAATTAATTAAAAAACTAAACTGGTAAATGGTATGAAAGAAAGCAATTAGGTCATTAAACAGGTAAAGGATGTGTCTAGAAACCATGAGTCTGTTTTATGGGAATCAGATAAACCTGTTATATTTGAACCCTATGGGAATCAGATAAACCTGTTATATTTGAACCCTATGGGAATCAGATAAACCTGTTATATTTGAACCCTATGGGAATCAGATAAACCTGTTATATTTGAACCCTATGGGAATCAGATAAACCTGTTATATTTGAACCCTATGGGAATCAGATAAACCTGTTATATTTGAACCCTATGGGAATCAGATAAACCTGTTATATTTGAACCCTATGGGAATCAGATAAACCTGTTATATTTGAACCCTATGGGAATCAGATAAACCTGTTATATTTGAACCCAATGGGAATCAGATAAACCTGTTATATTTGAACCCTATGGGAATCAGATAAACCTGTTATATTTGAACCCTATGGGAATCAGATAAACCTGTTATATTTGAACCCTATGGGAATCAGATAAACCTGTTATATTTGAACCCTATGGGAATCAGATAAACCTGTTATATTTGAACCCTATGGGAATCAGATAAACCTGTTATATTTGAACCCTATGGGAATCAGATAAACCTGTTATATTTGAACCCTATGGGAATCAGATAAACCTGTTATATTTGAACCCTATGGGAATCAGATAAACCTGTTATATTTGAACCCTATGGGAATCAGATAAACCTGTTATATTTGAACCCTATGGGAATCAGATAAACCTGTTATATTTGAACCCTATGGGAATCAGATAAACCTGTTATATTTGAACCCTATGGGAATCAGATAAACCTGTTATATTTGAACCCTATGGGAATCAGATAAACCTGTTATATTTGAACCCTATGGGAATCAGATAAACCTGTTATATTTGAACCCTATGGGAATCAGATAAACCTGTTATATTTGAACCCTATGGGAATCAGATAAACCTGTTATATTTGAACCCTATGGGAATCAGATAAACCTGTTATATTTGAACCCTATGGGAATCAGATAAACCTGTTATATTTGAACCCTATGGGAATCAGATAAACCTGTTATATTTGAACCCTATGGGAATCAGATAAACCTGTTATATTTGAACCCTATGGGAATCAGATAAACCTGTTATATTTGAACCCTATGGGAATCAGATAAACCTGTTATATTTGAACCCTATGGGAATCAGATAAACCTGTTATATTTGAACCCTATGGGAATCAGATAAACCTGTTATATTTGAACCCTATGGGAATCAGATAAACCTGTTATATTTGAACCCTATGGGAATCAGATAAACCTGTTATATTTGAACCCTATGGGAATCAGATAAACCTGTTATATTTGAACCCTATGGGAATCAGATAAACCTGTTATATTTGAACCCTATGGGAATCAGATAAACCTGTTATATTTGAACCCTATGGGAATCAGATAAACCTGTTATATTTGAACCCTATGGGAATCAGATAAACCTGTTATATTTGAACCCTATGGGAATCAGATAAACCTGTTATATTTGAACCCTATGGGAATCAGATAAACCTGTTATATTTGAACCCTATGGGAATCAGATAAACCTGTTATATTTGAACCCTATGGGAATCAGATAAACCTGTTATATTTGAACCCTATGGGAATCAGATAAACCTGTTATATTTGAACCCTATGGGAATCAGATAAACCTGTTATATTTGAACCCTATGGGAATCAGATAAACCTGTTATATTTGAACCCTATGGGAATCAGATAAACCTGTTATATTTGAACCCTATGGGAATCAGATAAACCTGTTATATTTGAACCCTATGGGAATCAGATAAACCTGTTATATTTGAACCCTATGGGAATCAGATAAACCTGTTATATTTGAACCCTATGGGAATCAGATAAACCTGTTATATTTGAACCCTATGGGAATCAGATAAACCTGTTATATTTGAACCCTATGGGAATCAGATAAACCTGTTATATTTGAACCCTATGGGAATCAGATAAACCTGTTATATTTGAACCCTATGGGAATCAGATAAACCTGTTATATTTGAACCCTATGGGAATCAGATAAACCTGTTATATTTGAACCCTATGGGAATCAGATAAACCTGTTATATTTGAACCCTATGGGAATCAGATAAACCTGTTATATTTGAACCCTATGGGAATCAGATAAACCTGTTATATTTGAACCCTATGGGAATCAGATAAACCTGTTATATTTGAACCCTATGGGAATCAGATAAACCTGTTATATTTGAACCCTATGGGAATCAGATAAACCTGTTATATTTGAACCCTATGGGAATCAGATAAACCTGTTATATTTGAACCCTATGGGAATCAGATAAACCTGTTATATTTGAACCCTATGGGAATCAGATAAACCTGTTATATT